TCCTCACATGCAATCACCTCCAGCCTCCCAGTCCTACCACTCTCATCCACCCGATCAGCTCAGAACTCTCATTCCTATTGCAGCTGCTCATCAGTTCTCCTTTACCCTGCCTGGATCCTCTTCTTGCCTCTTTCTCTCCATTCCTGGTGCTCCCACTGAACTACTACTGTTTTCAGCAGCTCCATCTCTGGGAACTACAGGGGAAGGAGCCCATTCCTCCCACTTAGAGCCTCACTCCAAGGGGTGGTACCCTCCTTAAAACTCAGCATCATCGCACACTCCTGAAGGAGTTGAGGGATCCCAAACCTCCAGCACAGTATACATGCATGGAGTTCTGTCACACACCTTGGAGGAGGCTGCATTGGCTTCCCACAGCCAAAAGGCTTGGAGAAGTGACTTGGTAGGGCATGCACTAGGTAGCGTATGTTAACATACTAAGGTGATAGGACTCACATTTGTTCTATAGTTCTCTTCAGAGTTTACAAGCAGTAGAGTTAAGTCTGAAAGCATTTTTGCTGGAAGGTATTTGAAAGGTCAAGTCTCACATAATGATTTTTCATTCCAAAACAGTACAGCTCACGTAGAACCATTTAACAAAGGGTTTCTTTGCACTCATTGTAATTTCCTGTTACGAACGCATTTTACACTCAATACACAAACTCCTGTTCCTTCTGCCCTATCCCTACACATGACCTTTATCAGATACCTCTGAAGATGTTTTAATTATTTCTTTATTTTTTCCGAAGTCTCCAAGCCATTTTCTAACTGTCCCTAACAGCTCTGTACCCTTTCATACTCTCGCAGCAACTAATGATCAGACATTTCACCAGTGAGCTAAACTGTCTGGTACACCAGTAGATGAATCCTGTCTCCACAAAAGTTGCAAGACGACATGCTTTCCTTGCTAGGCAGCTGCTGCTGAATGACAGCAGGACATGAGATGAAGGGGAGATGCATCATCATCTGATTTCCAATGTGTTAAACAACACAGATCAGAGTGCTGAGGCAGACTTTATCAATAGCTGGAGAACCAGAAATGCCATTCTTAAAAAACACTGTAGTAGTATTTTTGTTGCTGAAATACATTCCATAGAGGAACATTTCACTTCTTCAGTATTCACCCCCTAAACATTTGAAAATATTCTCTCCACCTTATAAATAGAGAAGCTGATAAAAAGTTCCAAGCAGTCCACACAAAGAATAAAAGCACTGCAAAAGTTTACTCTGATAATCCCCAAATAAAAGTGGATAAATACCAACTTCTTGATGATGGCATTTGAAGCATCTTCATTTTAACAGTACATTCAGCATCTGTCAAAAATAGCCAATCTATAAGATAAGAAACTATAGTCTGTACATTACGATAATTTGGGAACTGAATTTCAGTGCTTTCTATTATGTCAAAACTCATTTTTAATCCAACTTTGTATTCAATTGCCCTAATAACTAGCTATTACAGCATTATTCACTATTATACATATTTTCATGTGATATACTCTTGCCATTTTAAGTCTATATTAGAACTGGTTTTCAGTTTCTTTAAAAATGACTTTTACTTAAAGCAAACCATAGCAACTGCAAAGAAGTTACCTGTACCCTCTAAGCTCAGAGCAAATTGCTCAAGCATTACTAATTTTGAGGTGGGAGAAGTTGAAGAAATGAGGTATTTTTATATAAAAAGCTTAAATGACTCATGAAAATTCTTTTGGCATAGCTTATACGTGCTTGACAACAAAAACATATATAGCACCTTCCATCACCCAAGAGCTGTACATACTGCATAAGAAAGAGTTCAACAACTAAAACTCAACCTCAACTCTATAACCAGCAAAACCAAACTCTCACATGACTTAAGCAGAGCTCAAGAAAAACACTGGACATAACATGGTATTTCTGAAAGTAGGGAACTGGTTGTTACCAAATAAAGTTTTCTCGTAAACACTATTAAGTACCTTACACTTGACATCCAATGAATTAGTTGTTCTTTAAGTATCAGCTATTTGGCATAACAGCCCTGCAAATTGCCCCACATATCCACACAGGAGCAAGGAAACAGCCATATCCATGTATGGTTTCTGACTTAGCCAAAATTTCACGCTAGTCACCAGAAAGGGTAAACAGTCACAGAAGAAAAATCTGAAAAAGCTCAAAACGAAGAGCCATGTACCAACCACAGATGACTGAATTGAAAATAATAAACTGCTAACATGTTAAGTAGGAGCTAAGATCAGGAGTATTGCAGACTGCACAAGCAGCTGGGTATGTGTCTCGTGTGATGCCAAGCATGCGGCTCCACTGCTTTTCTCTGCACTCTTTGCAACATAAATCAGAAACAGAAGGGCAGAAACTTGCCCCAAGTTCTGCTGGCATTCCATACTGAAGACAGAGATGCTCTTCCTTTATGGGTGCTATCTAGCACATGACACGAGTGGTTTTCCTTAATCAGAGAATAGAACCAGCAGTTGAGCAGAAGGCTCTATAGATTGCCACTGCTTCCACCTACAAACTCTCAATTCCTCCACACTCCAGACTTCCACATCATCCCAAAGTATTCCCTTTGTCTTTTTCTCCCACTCAGTTTTCTACATGAAACAACTCTCCTCACATGCCTAGTACAATCCTTTGCCTTCTTTTCAAGGCTTTCACACACATTCCCTTCTCCTCCTCTGTTCCATCCAGTTATGCAGAGGACTTCCACGTTGCAATCACTCATGCTACACAACAAGGGCTATGCTCCACTTGTCACAAACTTGCCATTCAAGAAGACAAGCGTGGGCTTGAAGACCTGTAAAACATGCCTGATGGAGCACCTGAGATCTCAGACCTTACAGTGAGTGCATGGATGTTCCTTTTCATTTGTTCATCCAGCAGTGACAACGAATCTGTCAGTCCAAAGCAAAAGCCTCAAGGTGAATATGCTCACATACAGCATAGAAATGAATGCATAAAGTCTCTGTACTCTGTTTTGGCATCGTCTGACAGATTGATCAACACTAGAAAAATACCCGTTCTTCCACATCAAAGGCAGCAATGTCCTGGGGAATCGATGAGGAGCCTTGACAGATCTCAGTAGGGATAAGAGTTAATTATGAAATATATCTCAAGACAGAGCAGGCAATTAGCATTTATATTCAGCCTTATACAGCACTCTAGAAACACACACCTGGAGCAGACAGGATGTGCACTTTTACAGGGGCACATACCAGTCAACACAAGACCTTTCCAGCCTGTATGAACCACCTGGCAGCTGCTGAAGAATCTCAGTTCACTTCAACATCTTATAGGAAAAGAATCTGAAACACTGTAACTTACATCTGTAGGAGAGGATCTCTGAAAACAAACAGAAATCTACACTAAGTGTGGAGCTCTTCAGCTACATCAGCTGCGCAGACATTCTTGGTCTTTCACCGAACCTTGATCAGTCAGAGCTTTTTATACAACTACTTTGCTTTCCAAGCATGTGCAGTACCTAACATTTCCGAGGCACTTCACATTTCCCAAGCACTATGCAAACACCTACAGCTAATTAGAGACCATTAACAAGAACATCCCTGTATACTGAATTTCAGTGTTTTGCAAGGATTTTTCTTTTTTCCCCTAAAATAGGGAAATTCAAGGATTGAAAGATGCCAAAAAGCGTACCTTCATGGAGAAAACCTTATTTTGGGATACCTACAATGCCAGTGTGTGTGAAAGAGCCAGCTCACCCTGGCCAAATAGGACTGGATCCAGTTTGCCAGTAACAGCTCAGAAGATGCTGCACACGCTGTTAGATGCCATTTCTATTCACAGCATACATCTACGTTGTACATGCTCTTCCCCTGAACTAGGACTATGCTTCAGCCATGCCTCTAGGGGCTCTGTTCTAAAGAAAGCTACAGAAAAGAAATCACTAATCCCTTAATTAGGAGCACCCACTTCACCTTCTACAGGAATAATTCAGGAAGCCTGAATAGGCCACATGTCACATAAGGCAAAAATTTAATAACTGAACCTGATTCAGATTTTGGTTTATTTCTCTGTACCTACACTCAGCTGTGCAAAGCTACTGAAGGGAAGTACTTAGTGTTAATTAAGAGCAGCTTCAGAAGCCACTCATCACCACCTCTTCAAAAGCCTCAAATTTCTGATAGGAGCTGCATTACACCAGCAAGTCGCTGATCCTTAATCTCAAGCACAGCTCCAGGAAAACTCAACTAGGATCACATTCCCTTCAATTTTCATAAACCTCTTGTTTAAGCCACAACAGCTTGGGGATTAACTGTACTTTCCTAGCTGAGCTACTTCAGCTCATAAGGTTAGAAGAGGAGCACACACCATAACCACTAAAGAGTCTGTTACATCTAAAGATCCATTCTGCCACTGTCTTTCACAGACCTCCCACACAATGACTGCATCATAAAACAGTCCTACAGCACAATGCCCATCAAATTATAAGAATAAAGTCAAACCTCTTAAGACTCTCTTAAGGGACACCAGTGGCATAAATCACACTGTCATCAGTGCAAAGGTTAGAGTTGAACACCTCTCTTCCTTCCTACTGACATTTCCAGGTTGCTCTCATCAGCAGGAGAGATACATACACAAAGTTCTATGTACATCCACTTCCTACAGTGGAAAGAAAAAGTAGTATCCACCCCCATTTTACCTAAGAGCCTGCCTCCTTTCTACTCTCAAAGAATTGAGAGAAACACTACTGCATAAAACATTATTTCCTTTCTCCAATCAGGTGAAGAGGGACTCAAGTAATGAAGAACAAAGACACTCAGATACCTTGGTGATCATGGCTAGACAAGAAAGTAAATTAGCTACCATTATGATAATGACCTGGCTTTCTAGAAGAGGTAATTTGCATGTAGCAACTAAGCAGTAAAATAAAGATGATTTAACAGAATCGATGCTTGCTGCCTAACCTGACAGCCATAGAATAAGCAGCCATGGCCTCCAGAAAGACAGGCTTTTTATATTTGACTGTCTCTGCAGATGCAGATGCAAAGTACCTGACCAGAGCTCCCTCCAGGTGTAATGAAGCCTCACTCTGCATTTCTTCTGGTAACACAACAGCTTGTGCACAATCTGAATACACCGTCTGGAAGAAAAGAGGGTAAAGGATTAACTGCATTGTATTTCCCAGCAATTTTACATCAAACCTGGAAACACTGCAGAAATCAGCAGCAGCAGCAAAGTAGACAAACAAAAACCCAAACAAAGGAGGATGGGGCTCATGGTTTTGGGCTCCAGAAGGGAAGCAACATCCGTAAGAATGAAGCAGATTAGACCAGAGAAAGAAGCCTGTACACCAGTTCAAGCTCAACATGATTAGGCTGACTACAAATGCAAGATTGCTGTTTGTATTTAAATAATACTTTCCTTGTTGACCTTGCCTGAGGACCTCATAAGCTCTACAAAAGGAGTTAGCCAACTTGCAGGCCTTCCTATGTATGAGGGTACAGCTACCAGATTTTGGAAAAATCCAGTCATGATGGAGCTTCTTAGCTTCTTTGGCCCAGCTGACAAGGCTAAAGGAACTTACACAATGAAACTAAAACTGCAAGACTTTCAGTTTACTTCAAGCTTAAGTATGAACTTAGAAATGAGCAAGCAACACACCTACAAGGTCTGAAATCTTTCAACATAAAGCTACATACTCGTGAATTCTCCAAATCCTAAAGGCTTCTATAGAATAGAGTGTTTAAATAAACTCTTAGGTACACAATCATATTCCAAAACCAAAAGAGAATTAAGTATACAACACAGCGAGTAAAATTGCTAGCATTTACCACCATTACAGACAACATAGAAAATATATTCAAATCTGAGTTTGTTAGACCAACCTACTTTAGTTATTGACATTTAGAAAAAGAGAAGGAAGAGTTCAAATGAGAAAATTTCCTCTTTTTCCCCTCAAATTCTTATTTCTCAAAAACATCTCATTAATATGAACATCTCTGAAAAGACACTACAGAGACACTAAACATCAGACAGAGAAATCAAATCAAAAGTTTTTGCATAGTAGTTGTTCAAGATGAGGTGAAGAGTTCAAAACAAAGCTTTAAAAAGCCTTAATAATATACAAATGGTATATGTTCATCTTTTCAGACTCTTAGATGATCTCAAAATTATGATGATGGGTTAAGGACTGAAACTCCTAACTTCAGAGGAATAAAGGTAAAGTCATTGATGATAGCTGAGCATCACATTAAGTGCTGTATTACAAATTGGATTCTTGTAAATCCAACCAAGAAAAGAAAGTAAAAACACTACAGCATAGACAGCCATCTTGAACAGCAACAGCTCCGCAGAGACAGCTACTTCTGATGTTACCTGCTTCCCACTTATGTGTCTGCCTGGCTTTAAGACTAGAACTGGCCTCTTCAAAAGAGCCATTTAAGGCAATAGACCAGACGGAATCAGGCAAACACTGAAACATTTATTTGTAATTACAACAGTGTTACTGCAAAATACTCTGCTGACATATTTCAGCACTGATACCTACTGATACACAAGATGAGGAAGGGCATAGCAGCCCTAGTAGTCCTGCCTAAGGGGCCAGAGCACCAGCTAAAGCTCTACAGACTCCCAGACCATAACACTTTAGTGTGGAAGTTGCATCCATTCTGGTAGGGTGTCCTTGTTTATTCAGCTTTACACTAAGAATTCATAATATATGTGACAGATAAAATAACACCTTTAGTCAAAGGAACCTGGATTTATCTTTTAAATATTAATATGCCCTCCATTGAGCAGCTTCATAGTCACCTTTAAAGTGTAATGCAGACAAATATGACACTATTTGTGCATTCAGAACACCCACTTTCTCTGCAATAACAGTGTCTGGTATGGGATGGTTTCAGACAGAAATGTAGTGTAAGGACTGCACAAATATGCCAAAAGGAATGGATACAGATGTCTACTGATGATTGCTACAGCTCATTATACTCACTCTCAAAGGGTTTCAAGATGTGACCTTACCTTTAAGCCCAAACATTTCACATCTTTCTTGTGAAATCTCAATGCGCTACCTATCTACAATTAATTCTGTTATTGTCATTACAAATATATTTCTCACAAGTGTGTAATTGAACTATATAACCCTTGCAAAGGCCCTGCAGTTCTGAGGTTATCTGAGCAAAATTGGAACATGTTGAGAAGCCACCTTCAAGGATAACAGCCCAACTATCTGTATCTCTTCTACAGTATACAGCGTTGCTCAAGTCTGAGGGAAATTCAGTACTCTATGAACAGCAAGAACAAAGCCAATGATCTGCCTAAACCCTATTTCTGCCCTTCAGGCCAAATCAGAACAAAGCATTCTAAGAACCAAAGTGGGACACAGCAAGTGCCCCGTCCTCCTCTCCCTTTCCCCCACTGTTAAGTTTTACCCTGACAAACTAGCAAGCTATTTCAGGCTTAAACCTCTTTTCCACTCTCCACATTGCCTGCCAGGCTTCACATCAATCATCCTTTTTTTTTCCCCCCAACTCCCAAAACTGTCTTTTCAGTTTCAAGACCAAAACTCAGCTTCTGGGAAGCAGGGATTCTTGCAATGAATGCACATTATGAAGCTTCTTTCAGATTGAAAAGCTCTTTGTATTTGATCAAGTAGATTAGGAAATCAGCCTGAAAGGTGGAAATTCATTTTGCTTTCAAATTTCCTGGCACACAGAGCATTTCAAAAGTAGAAAAAGTTGCTGGAAGAGTTCATGAAAAGCCATCCTGCTCTCCACCACCCACAAAATGTTATTTCAGCCAGAAGACTGTTACATGACTAGAATTCCATCCAAATTCAAACTTCGAACGAAACCAGGAGACATCCTACAGATACTTACATGTAGAGATCCATGGGAAATTCTTTCATCATATGTGTCACAATGAACTCCACCATTAAATCTGATGGAAAAGAAAATGATAAAGTAAGTAGTGAGCTAGCCACAGTTAAATTCTAATAGACAGTGAGGAAATCAAACTAATCCCTACCACCTTTCCTACCAGCCAATAGTCCTGCTTAGAAGAAACACACTTTAATTTTTCTTTTGATGAAGGAGAACTAGACATCCTCTGGAATGAAAAAGTATACTGAAAACTTAGGGCATGTTTTCCACCAGTACTAGTCAAATGAAGAATACACCATGAATCCTGATGCTTGGAATTGCTCTCATATTTCAAGCCCTGTCACTAGTGGAAAAGTTCTTTGAGAAGCACGTTCTAAAAAATTATTCTCATCAGAAATAACACACAACAAAGAGGTTTACTTTCAGAGAAGATCTTACCGAGAATACCTATTTATCATCAAAATATATTCTGAAGCAAGTACATCTAGGCTGGTCTTAACACAGACTACAGTTCTGCTTAAGACTCCTTCAGCAAATAAACAAAAAAATGTCTCTAAGTTATCCCACTGTGAGCAAAGAACTCAAAAATACAATTGAAAAAGAGAAGTTACTACAGTTCAGCCAATAAACACTAATCAAAGATGTGTTCTCACTTCAGCATAAAATGCTTAAGCTGTGCCACTGGTAACAACTGGGAGACATTACCTCAAAGGGTCCTAATAGCCCAGAAATACGACTGAATAGTGACAAAAAATAAGCCCAGGGCAAAAGTACATGGTATCTGGGAAGTCTAGAATGATTCATACCCTATTTGTTCCACCGTGCCTTCAATAAAATGCTTTTGAAAATGCTGGACTCCAAGACTGCTTCCATTTCATCGGGCTTAAAAGCCAGCCTCCATCTATCTCTGTATCCATTTATACTTTTGGCCTCTGTGGCAACGAGTCTCATAATTTTATCATTCACTGTGTGAAAAGCTTTCAGCTGTGCCTTCATCCACAAGCAAAACCAATCCTTGATACTGACAACCCTATTGTGGTTTTTTTTTTCCCCTCAGAAAAGGCTAAATGCCCAGTAAGACTTCCTCAACAAGCATTTGTCTTCTCCATAGGTTTGTTCTCATTTCACCATCTAGATGGTACTTGTGACCAGCTGTCACTACCATCACTTAAAACTCTGATTTATTAATCATCTGCCCTCCCTACTGCTACATATTCAGGGCCGATAGGCTTCTGCAAAACTTACTGCAAATGTACACAGGGTTTCTTGCTACAGAACAGCAATCTTGGACTTAACTTCTCCATGAGGCAGCCAAGTAGAGAAATGGACCGTCCGTTGCTGGAAATCTTACTTAACTGCCTTATTTCTAAGTCCATCCACCCCTACTCTTAATCTACACATCTATTTCTGCTGCAGAACAAAAAGATTCTTCAGGAAGCACGTGGGCACTCTAACACTACTCACCAAGCACTGCACACACCAGCGGGCGACAGGGCAAGTTCTTGTCTGCTGCTTTCTTCCTATGCCTCATCGGCTTCAAACACACAAAGATGAAAAGAAGTCAGAATAAGCCTGAAGTGCCATTCTGTGTATTATTGTATTTTTCATGCAAATGCCACCATCAGCACAGATTCCCTCTGTCTTTTTCTCTGACTGCTATCTCACTTATATTAGTTCTGAAGGCCACAAATGAAATAAAATAATTTTGCTTGCTTTTCAGCACGCTGACCACCAGGTTTTTGTTATTCTAGGTGTGTAACTACAGGGCACTGTTATATACCAGAACAAAAAACATCACATAGCAATTTCTTTCCCTTGAAAACCTATCGATTTGCTCCTGACTCAGAAGTCTGATCTGCATTCTTAATAGCACATGCAGTATCAAATGGCTTTGGCTTTGACTGCAGTAAACCAGAAAGGCTAACAGGGCAGCAAGTTTGCTGTTAAGTGGGAAAGACTAGCACCCTCACACTATGCTTATTTCTATCTTGGATTAGTAACACTTCCGAACACTGTTCCAGTGTCAGATGAGGTGGCAATCACCAGCACCATAAAAACAGAATGCATCAAGTCAGGAGAAAGACTCAGTTACCCCTGCCTACAAAGCCCCATGAGCTAGATAAGGACACTTCCTCCACTGATACCTACAGGAAAAACATACAGAAAACATGTTTTCCTCTTTGAAGCTGAATCCTCCACCCTCAGGAGAAAGCATAAGCCAAAATCAGAGAACTCAATGCAACTCCAACTGGCTATTAATATATCATATGAGGACCAATGCTTGCTGAAGGTTAAGGCAGAACATTCTCTGTATCGCAGATTTCCTCAGAGATCTCATAGTACACAGCTCTTCTCCAGCTACATAGGTCTCCGAATTCACAACAGTGCAACCAGCTCTTTATCCTTTGAAGGAGTGAGACATTCTGGGAGTGATTTTAAAATCATCCTCCAACTGCTGCATTTCTGACAGCACTTCCGCATGCCTTAGCAATCTAGGTTAGATATATGTGACACAGTTTTCAGCATACAGGGACTTGAATCCCATGCTCTCATCCCAAAGAGAAAAAGCAAAGCATCCACAGGAAAAACTCACCATCCTGTGGAGGTTTACTCGAAAATTCATGTTGTCATCATGGAGAAAAGCATTAGCATATTGATCCTATTGAAAAGAAGAAGAAAAAAAAAAAGGAAAGAGTGATGAATAAAAAACTACCTGCCCACTAACTTCCACTTGCCTCTCAACCCACATGTGTTTCAGTGCAGAGCTCCCAGCGAGCAGCTATAAAGCTGAAAACACCCTCAAAACCTCCTCTTATTCACAGGCATGCCTTCAGTCCCACAAAGGCAAAATCTTCCTGATCTCAATTCCACGTCACTCTGCACTATTTGCTATTTTCTTCAAGGTCTATTTTCTGTTCTATTTCTTTGCTCATCAAAACTATAGACTGTACATGCTACAGCACCAAGATTTTAACAAGTGCTATATAATGCACACAAGTCCCTGTAACTTTATCCACAAAGGTTTCTATTGTTTTTTTGATGGAGCCATCATGCCAGAAGTCCCTGCACGCATGTGCTAGCAAGTGGGTTGATCAGCTGTCCCACCCTTCAGGCAAAACTTGTTTCAAGCCCAGCTACAAATCAAACTATTACTCCAGGCAATGCACATTCAGATTAGGTATTAAATACACTCTCTAATATCAAAGCTGAAGCAGGCCCCTGATACATAGAAACAGCATTTCTTATATTATCTACGTGCCCACCTGAAGAAGGCACTTGCATGGCAAAATCAATTATAAATATCAGAAATGCATATGACTGCACCCTGAAGAAACACTACTTCAGAATTCTCAAGCTGTCTATCAATATCATTGCCTTTTATTCTTTGCTAAGAATGAAAGGTCTTTACTTGCAAGCAAACAAAATGCAAATGCCCCACAAACTCAATCACCATTCAGGACAAGCCATTAGCCAGGCCATTATTGTCTGTTTCCCATAAGACTGGAGCACCTTCACCAGGACTGCTGACACAGACTGCTGGTCTCCTCATTCTACTGCCAGCTTTCCTACCATTCTATAACTGTAACACTCTTTCAGACTTATAAAACCCTTCTCTAACAGATAGGATACAGCACTGCCCATGATTACCACAAGCACCACACAGAGGAAAGACATTCACACAATCATCTAAAAGCACTTAATAGCTAAGTGAGACAGGCTTAGGTTCACTGTTTTCTCTCTTTGTTCCTGAGCTGGCTAAACCAAATACGATGATCCAATTTTTAAGTATATTTTAACAGTATTGCATCAGATTTATCAGCAAAACATTATGTGCCTGAGGGTCTCATTACTAACAGCCACTTTAGATCTTCAGCTCCCAGTGAACAGGAGGCAGGGGATGTGCATGCAGACAGGGCCTTGAAACACACCATCTGCTGAAGAGTCTCGCAAGAAACCTACCTCTGCTATGCATGTCAGGATAATCAGACACAGCTTGCCACTGTGTAGCCGGTGCTCATCTGCAAAGAAGGAAAAACAATTCCTGCATGAGCCATACAAACTTGGCAATGCTGAAGAGTGAGAAGGCTTTTGCACTAGGAGAGTTTTAATGCTTGTTCCTCCACAACAGCTGATAGTGTAGGTACTCCCCACTGGGCACTCACCCTCCAGCCTGGACACTAAATCCTATAAAGTCTTCCCCACTATTTCTGTGAACAGTCAAGATTCTGATTTGAATCTCCATCACCACTGTAAATATCAATGAGGCTTCTTTCTCATTCAGTTTTACTTTCACAGATATTCTATATAAATGGTGTTAATCACTGCCTGCCTGCCACACTGGATATGTACTTTTTATGTATACGTACTCTCTAAGGTAAGATGGAGAGATAGCAGTTTTGCTGTAGGTTATGAAACAAACCAAGTTTTGGTAGAGGCAAAGCACAGGAGAACAAGCATGTTGAGAATTCATGCCCTGAACTTTAACCCCACTGCTGACAGACATGACCCAGTTTGCCCTATGTAAAGCCATGAATGAATGATGTCTGCAAGGACTAAACATTTTAAGCCAGAGGAGTCCCACCCTGCTCATGTCCTGCAACCAGCAATTGAACTATGCTGATTTCACCTTGCTACACTGAGTAAGAGGAGAGGAATATTGAAATGGGAGTGTTAAAAATCTTTCCCATGTCTCTTTATCTCAGCTTAAATGAGTAAGTGAAAAGTTTTCTATCCTAGCAAAGAAGAAAAAATGGCTTCAAAGAACTGTGATACACTGGAGCCTTGTTATTTTCCTATCGTAAAGCCTCACTGTATATTTCTGTAGGTGCTGTTAACACCTCTCTGGGAACAATGCTGTAAAGGCTCCTGTTCCACACTAAGTACTCTGCCTTCAGCCAACATGTTGTGAAGATCATGCCATTTTCAGCAGTTATGGGGCAACCACACAGGCAGTTACTTGCACAGATGCTCTGTACCTTCACAGCACTCTTCATTAAAGGAACAAAGCAGACCACTTCCCACAGGGAGATGTAGCAGTATGAACCCTATTTTACAGATGGGGAAAAAAAAAAAAATAACACAGCTTTTGTTTCTCCCAATGCAGCTGCCTCTGACTGGCACAAGAGAGAAATAGAGAGGAGGATCTAGCAGAATGCTGTCTATTAAATTATGCTCTCTGGGATAGAACTGGAACAGCTGCCTGGTCCTGGAAGTGGAACAAACCAGTCTCCTCTTTGTGTTCCCACCTGTCTCAAGACAGAGAGAAAATAAAATTCTCCTTTCCCCCCCTTGCTACTATACTGTTGTCAAATGCTTTCTTCTATGCAAGAAAAAAAAGTTAGGCAGAACCCAATATATCCTTACTAGAATTAATAGGCAGCGGTTTGGAAGGCACATGATTGATCAGTAGAACTACTGATACAAACTGCCATCTGTCACAGAGGCAAGGACATTGTCTATCAGCCACACAACCTTCAGATGTTTTACATACTAGCACCAAGGTAGAGAAAGAAGCATCGTGCCCTGTCACATAACAGAATAAACTCATCTTGAATTGACTTGCTTAGCAAGAACCTCTATCAGATCTCATTCCATCTGAAACTAATCTCATCTGGCAGTTCCTGAGGACCAATGCATATTTCCCATACTACAGTGACTAGTAAGTGCAACAGTTAAATTTAAAAACATGAAATTGTTCCATAGACTTGGATCAGCAAGAGAAACCCTGAAATAAGCAAATGAGAATAATTAGAGAGCTGGTACACCTCCTCATGTGTACAATCTACAAAAAATGACTGAACAAAGATTGAGGTGGTTTAGTTTAAAGACAAAAGCAAGAGGAAACATGAAAGCAGACTTCAAATACATAACGGTTGTCACAAAGAAGAAAGAAATTATCCATTCTCTATATCCGTCTCGGGGAAGATAAGCAGTAATTAATTTAAATCACACTAAAGAACTTAGGATGCACCTGAAGCTTTTTCACAATAAGAGTAGTTAAACACTTGAATAAATAGTCTAAAAATTATGCTCCTCTATCAGCATCTTATTCAACCTGTTAGCAACAATTCTCAGAAAAAACAGAGGTAGACCTGATTCTGCCTTGGTTTTGAAGGACATGCTAGATACTGCCATGAAGTGCTTTTTAGTCCTAATTTCAATTATTCACCTTTTCCTCAAGTAGCTTGCATACTGAACAAGAACAAGACTGCTAGAAACAACTTCCTGCAAGTTTGTGCACAAGAAAACTCTCCTGTACAGCATGTTCTTTCACAAACGTTTATCGTGTTCAATAATCAAGGTATCATAGTTCTACAGAAGTCTTCCTACTTTTCTTCAGCTATTGTGTTTAACTTAAAGCAGTGTAAGTTGGCAATGGGCTGAAATACAGCAAAAAAGATCACTTGTTATGTTCACGCTGTGGTCCTGCCCTACAATCACTGAGCACAAGAGGATCCTCAGGTAGCAGAGCACCACCAAGCTTCAACTCCAGCAACACGAGATGAACACCATTCCAAAGTGATCAGAAGAAACAAAAGGCACAGTATGGGAATGTATCTCATCAAGCTAATGATTGTCAGTACAGTGAAGATCACTGCTGCCACATTTATAGTTAAAGATCTGTTTGACCAGCAAGTACCAAAGGACAAAGACAATATTTCCTTCCAATACTGAACTTTGCCTCATGTGTCAGACTAAACATTCTTTAAAATATAGTTATCCAGTGCACGATTTCTCCTCTCTGAGCAAGTGTTTGAAATCAGATGTGCTGACAACTCCTGCACAGGGAAAGGCTTGGTTATTACATACTGTTATTATTATTACTACATTCTTCCCATTGTTGACTTCTCTTCTGTTTGCATTCATTCTCTCCTAGTCTTACATAACTGTTATCTCACAATAAGAAATCGTTTAGTTTTCTCAGAAGGTTTAACCTTCAGTCATCCAAAAGGACTGCAGTTGGCTTCTATTTCTGGAGATGTGTTCCTATGCCCTCCCCATTTCAAGAAACACTGCTTGCTACATCAACAGAATTTATTTACCTTTTGTGTCCTGCATCACAATGGAGCTGTACTTCAAGAAGGTTATCAGCAAGTTGCTAGTTTGTACATCAGCATCCAAAGGTAGCTCTGCAGAGCTTATAACTGGAACAAAACAGATAAGACACACTTACCCTCCACAAACACAAAATAGAAGTATGCAGAGAACAAAGTCACAGACTCATAAGTCTGGGACAGAATCAACTTATCTATAGGGTCACCTGAGTTCTTCATCCTACTATATGATCACCCAGCAAAGATTTTGTTTTGAAGACTGGTACTATCCCAAAAATCTTTTCTCCTGCCCTAAGGGTAGGAGATGCTCTGCAGTGATATCCTTCTCTGTTCTGCTCTAGTGACTTCAGGAGAGATAAATTCGCTATTTTAGCACTCATCAATTTTCCTAACCTAGGGAGCTCAAGATATTCTCACCAATACCTAATTAGATCCCATATGTAATTCCACATAAGAGAAAAGGGTTTGATTTAACAGTGTATTTTACAATTCAAGATTTAAACCTCGTAACCCTGGAATGACGTAAATAAGGTTAGTTACCCCCGGAACCAAAGGATATGCAGGCACAGGAGGATGCAGGGGATGAGCCAAGAGTAAAATGCAGGATTCTTAGAACTGAGCACTGAGAGACCCACTGCACAGTAAATGAAGGTTCTCATGGAGCTCAGGATTACACAATCCCCTTGAATACAAAATCGTAGCCCTTGGAAACAACAGGCCAAATAGATCAATGTAACCTTGCTGTTCAAATCACATCAAAGAAATGATAATGGGGCTTTTAGCTTCTGAGGGCTGCACATCCCCAAGCATGAGCTGTTTTGGTTCATTCAATCCTGAAACTGCAGCACAACTAACATGTTGCTAGCATGGTCAGTTTGTTGGCAAAGTCCAAGCAATGACACTGAAAACTCTTTAACTCCCAGTGTTATGAACAGCTCGAGGAATTAACTAAAAAACTGGAAAAAATGTATTTATATCTCCAGCACATCCTTCCGAAGCTGTTACAATGAACACAATGAATGAATATTTAACAACAGTAAGTAAAGTGACATTTAGAAAACTATGGGGACAGGCACACTTGATTTACATATTATGGATTAACACTTTCAAGAAAAAGTCTCATTTAAAGAAGAGGAAATCACTCTGAAGATCACATCACTGCCTACCCAGGTTCATGGCACAGACACTGCATTTTTTACCCAAACACTCTGAAACTTAAAAAGGCTTTAATTGACATTAAAGGCTTACAACCATAGAAATTTCAAACCAGAATATGAACCCATTTTTAATTCCAGTCAGCATTAAAAAGTGCCTGAAAATCAGACGAATTTCTACACATTGCTGAAACTTAGAAATAATTCAACCATGCTTTTATTCTTTCAAATGCATGAAAAATAAGAAAGCAATCTTTTCATTCCGAAGTCAAAATGCCTCTTACTAACTCTCAGCCACAGGCAAGTTTTAAAGCTGAGTTGCAAGACATGAGAAAATGAGGAAAATTCTGTCATACCTTTAAAATAACAGCAGTACTAAAGAAGCACCACTCAAATATAACTAAGCTGAGGTCAACAAAAACCAAAAATAATAATAATCACAGTGTAGAGATCATCAAGGTGACAGCTAATACAAATAAGGAATGCTTCCTGGTGTAATTCCTGCACGCTAAGATCAATTCCAGTCCTTAAACTTAATAACCTTGCATGCAGAAGGAAGCCTCAAGCTCCTTAACATCACTGCCTCTGCTGAAAGCAGGATGGAGTTTTTGCTTTGCTTTTGTTTTTTGGTAAATAAATTTAAAAAAAGAGAGAGAATATGAGCAAGCTGTAGATGTGGTTAAGCATCAGTTCTTTCAGTTGTATAATACAGCGTGGGTGTGGATACATTTGCAACGTACATGTTGAACACAAGCCTACAAAATGCCCGTCCCTCTACATTTTATGTTGCACAAAACGTGTAGCACACAAGCACAGGGAGACTTGAGACATAGGGAGCTTTTTAACTGAAGCTTTTGATATCCATGGTAACCAGACAGAACTCATCCACAAGGAGGATCATCTTTAACCAGGATATCAAATGACCTGAATAGCTGATATAGCTAAGTAACCCAGGCTGCTTGGTCCCTTAAACATTTCCAAATTGTGCTCTACTCAAAGTGACTCTATTCTTCCTCTGAATTCTTTCTTCAGATCTATGCCATTAAAGTAGGTGGCCGTTTTATTTCTTCTCTTAAACTGGACTGCAACTATCCATGACAAACAAGAAGGGTTTTATTTTCAATTATTTTAAAAGTACATTTATTTAGGCACATAACATCTCATTTAGATCTCAGCACAAGCAGTCATTTACAAATCCTGAGAGACGAAAGATGAGAGGGAGGAATATCTCAACTCCCAGATTGGAATCAAATCCCAGTTAATTCAAAGCTGGGGACAAGTGCATTAATGGCAAACTGCAACTCTCTGCAAATCTGCTCCAATGACAAATAATCCCAGGCAGAGAACCTGACACTAGAAATACTCAAAAGCAAAAGCCTATGTAGTAACAGGTTGGGTGCAACTTCACGCAGATACAGGGACAACACTGTTTTGAGAAGGAACATCAACACAACCTCATTAAGAAATACACAAGGCAAAAGAGAAACTATGCTACACATCTTTCAAACAATTAAAATCATGCCAAATAATATTTCTCGCTTGTGTTCAGTAGGGCAGATCTCCCCAGGAAAAGAACACCAGGTTACATCTGCACCAGACAGACCTCATTAGTTGCTATCTTGAGGAAGTGCTTCGCCAGCTATTTGTTAATTGTTCATCCCCAGGAGATCACTACATTTCTTACCATCCGAAGAAGGCGGAGTGGTTCCAAGCGGAGTGACAGGCGTGGTTGGAATTGGACTTGTTGGTGTTGTCATCAGCCCCATTTCAGGATGGCTCTAACAGAAAACACAAGTCCCAAACATACACAGGTTAATAGCTTCCCTGTGGCTAAGTCACATGGATCACTGCTTGTACTGTTCCACACTCTCACACAACAGACACATCTTCAGTGAAATCTCAGGAAACTTCAAACTCTCCTTCGAAAAGGAAAGCTACGCTTTACAACCTTGGATACCTACAATTAAACTGTAAATCAATTAATTTACTCAGCAAAACATACAAATATATCACAAAGCACTAGCTGTCCCCAGACAGATAACATGCCCTTCTCCAGCACAGAAGAGGAAAAGGCAAGCAGAAGTCTACACTGTTTACAGCTTCTCATCACACCAAAGCCAACCCAAGGGCGTGCATTTGAAGTCTTCCTCTACAATCCTTTTATTTCACTTCCTAAAAGCAAATTCTTCTACCCCCTTGCCCTCCACCTGCTCATATTCAAAGATGATGACAATTTCTTTGTTTCTCTCTGTAAAGCTCAGACACCAGAGGAAAAGAGTGCATAACATAAAGAACACTACCATTATTGATCCTCTCTGCTTCCATCAGTCAGTTACTCAGCCCATTTCATCTTTGCTAATAGTTGCCTGCCTAATTACTGCTTTGACTTTACTCTTTGTAAGCTCCCAGATCCATCCGAAGATGGCAATCTGCCACGCTATTTTAAGTCTGCCTGCCAAGCAGAGCGTCCATTTCATAGGGCAAGTTTTACATAAATGTATCATCTGCCTAAATACATCATCACAATTTCAAAAAGGAAAGAGATATAGAACTACTGGTTTGACATTAGTTCTTTCTTCACAAGTGGATAGCTTCCACTGTCCTTGAATATCGCGTTTTATGAGCAACCATAAATATGTGTATTTTATGGGAAGCACAGACATATACTACACCAGTTAAAGGCAACTGTAAATTACGTGTACTAATTGAAAATTTAAGATCCAGTTTTCCATTGAAAATCTTACATAAAACATGTTTGCTTTCATATATTTTGCTATAGTGTTTACCTTCCCTTTCCCCAAAAATTAACTGTCAGTTAAGAGATAATAGTGCCACCTAGCAGCAAAAACTGAGGACCAACAAGCTAGTAAACACAAAAACAATTAACACTTCAGGCATCATCACAGCTATACCTCAGCTCTTCCTATAAGCTCTCAAAGGAGCAGGTAGTCATTCACACAGTCCCTGTTTCAGCAATGGATACAACCAAGAGCTTTCATCAGCTTTCACGAAGTTTCTCAAAAGACAGTATGCCCTACCTTGACATCTCTTAAAAAAGGGATTACAGGCAATCCACCCAAGAACAACATTAGAACCAAACTTCAATCAGGTCCACTAAACAGTGGCTGCTTCAGCTACCACTTTCACGAATAACTAGCTTATTTTTTCATTATTAATGCAAGAGCTTTTACGCCAGCTGCTCTTTTCCCATTCTCCTCTTATCCCTCTTCTCCCTCAGGGATATCCTGGCCACATAAAGGCCTGAATTGGTATTACACAACTAGAAGCAGAAGTCTCTCGGAGGCAGTTGGAATGAACAACCTGCAAAAAGCAAAGAACTTGAGCGACTTAACCAGCCCCAGAACAGAAGCTTTCTAAAGAGTTCATAGTTCTGCCTATCAGTCTTCTGCCATCAACACCAATGCCAGGAGCTCCCCAGAGGACCACTCCCTCCTTTGTGCCACGTATCTAGCTAGTAGTACATTACACAGAGTCACAGAATCATAGGGGGTGGAAGACACTTGAAGAGATTGAGTCCAATCCCCCTGCAACAGCAGGTTCCCTACAACTGGCCACACAGGTAGGCACCCAGATGGGTCTTGAATATCTCCACAGAAGGAGACTCTACAGCTTCTCTGGGGAGTCTGTTCCAGTGCTCCATCAGCCTTACTTTAAAGTTGTTCTGCATGTATTGCTGCACTCTGATGAGCTGAAGTAGCTGGGGAAAGGCCTTAACTGTTTTAATGTGTTTTTTTTCCCACAGATTACTAGCAGTACTTGAAAAAAACAAAATTACCATACTAAACTGTAATGCCTTCTCAAACTCATCAAGCCATTCCTACAGCCAGCCACAACATCATCATCAGATTAAACAGACTCAGTATTTCTCCCTCATTGCAACTGCCTTTGCAAACTCATATACTGATTATAAAAAGCATCCAGAGCTCTGTGTTCAGAGGTACAGAGCAGCCCCCATTGCTTCTCAGAATGCTGCTACAGCTCTGCTTCTTCACCATAAAAAGCACAAGAAGTGCTCTGTTGTGAGAGCAGTCATTGATCAGTTCCTATGTGAAGGATACCTACACAAACAACAACATGTGGTATGTGCATATCCAGACAGAAAAATTAATACAGCTTGGAGCTGGATCAGCTTCTTTCCCTCATCTCTAATTTATCATGTGTATGAATTGCTCCAATAGTTGTAGCACTCTTACTGCCATAGTAAACTCACTATATCCTCCTTATGGCAGTATGACAAAAACACAGAAAGAACTCTACACAGCCCTTCCATTCAGTGGGAAAAATGGCTCCTAGCACGAGCTGTGCCCTCAACACTTCAAGCATTTTCTGGCAAGGCAGGAAGCATCTCCTAGAAATAAATCCAGTCCCTGGTTTGTTTTTCCATCTTTTGTACCCATCTACATCTGTGACAAGCACCCAGAGGGTGAAAAAAAAAAACAAAAAAACCCCAAAACTTACCTTTTCACCAATTCAATTACTGACTTTTTAATTTCAAAAGACATCTAATAGAAAGAAAAAGGCAAACATAGTACTGAAACTCACTTGTGCCAGAACTGTAATGAAGTTCCGATTTAAGTGGACAGCTTCATAGAGGGCCAGAAGGATTGCTTCATTAGTTCTGTGGAAAGGACACAGACAAGAGCACAGTTAATTAAGGGCTAACTCCAGATGAGAATCCTGAGAGCAAAGCTTCTGAAAGAATATTTTTTTCCCAACCACTTTAAACTCTGAAAACCACTTTTTTTCATTATTAGTAGTACTGAGCAGTGCACGAATACATCTATTTTTAGATTTCAACTACAGTCACTGCTCTTCTCCTGCAGAACGTCTTCCTTGTTACTCACTCTGAAGCAATGTTTTCCTCTTTAAAGCCCTTTTCAGGGTAGAGGTCTGCACAGACACAATACACCCTGGTATTTATCACTTGCCCTTTTTATTTGTTTCATTACACTGAAACAGTTCCATGATGGGGAAGATCACGTTGATCAGAGCAGTGAACCGTCACTCATTGTGCAAATAACATCTGTACACTTACTGGACTGATATCTTCTCATCAGCATCTGCTATGAACATGCTGCCCACCTATGGAGAGAAGAAGTATAGCAGAGGAGGAATTTTTGAAAGCTATTCAACAACAAGAGGGAAGACAGATTTAACTAAGCCAGAAGTGCCCTGTGAGATGTGGTCTCATCCAACAGCACAAATGCAACTTACATTCCAAAACCAGTGAAATACAACTGGGGAAGCTCCACAAAGGACAGAACAGGATGATCATATACAAGCACATGTTTTGTTCTTCTGTAGCTGCCCAATGCTTAATCTGTCAGGTCACAGAAAAAACTCTGTATTTTAAATCCCAGCCTTGATTGGCCTGCGGTTCTATGAGAGATCACTTCCTGTCAGTGTGCCCCAAAGCACAGCAGTTTTACCCACATCACTCCTGACAGATAGCTGTCATCACTGAACTACTCTTTATTTTTGAAAGCACTTTCTCATCCAGACAGCAGTATGCTCCTCAGGATACAGTTACCTCAGCTGTATTTGGTTTAGATCATATCAGTGCATCCTTCCTACAGAAATACATTTTAAGCTGAGTTTTTGGAAACTCTCACCCACCTGCTGAACCTTCAGGAAGTCCCTATTTTAAGAATAGGACAACACTGCATCTTTGCTTACCATGTTAGTTAGGGCTGAGAAGAAACCACTCTGGTGCTCCTCTTCTTTATCTTTGTATTGCCTGAACAAAGAAATCAGGATGAAGCTTCGAGCTTAGAAAGGTAACTACAGTTTTCTTCTCTAAACCCCCACACTACAACTTCATCTGATTAGGATGCAGGTGGGAGAAAGTTCCAACATTCAAAATTCCTGTTTAAGCAGCCAGTAAAAGAGGAGGAGAGGATATCAAAATATCTGCAAACTGTTCAGAGATAAAGTGAGGGTGCTGAAAGATGCGACTCTGAACAATGTCTGTGCTGTTACACAGGATATATCCAGCCTGGACTAACACCAGGGGTGTATCAAGTGACTCCAGAAATTTTGTCTTGAACTAACACACAGTATACTACAAACCACGTGAACACAGCCTGTAACTACAGGGTACTTTTATTTCAATTATCATCAGCTAGAATAAACCACACTTAATCACCATGGCCAGGAGAACCCACGAAGACCATTAGAGAGGTTCAGCCCAATCCTGCCGGATCCTATATTCCTCTCCCCAGAAGATGACAGGTTGAAAGGTGGTTCAATGAACTGCTCTGCTGACAGTTGTCTGTTCCTACCTGCCTTACTTCCAGGGCATATTAGAAAGCACAAGGATGTTCCTGAACAGTCTAGTAAGCATGACAACATAAGCAAGCATCAGACCACGCACACAGACATGGTCCAGAAACATGACAGGAGCAGGAAGCCCTTGACTAGACTGGATTTGGAACAAGAAGTCAACAAATATGTTAGGCTCTTTGCTTCAGATGACATTGAAATGGGCTAGCAGAGCTCACATAGCCATTTATTCTGTCTTTCATAAAGGAATCCAACTACACATTCTGCATCATGCAAAGAAAACAGTTCTAAAATTCCAAGGGGAAAGAAAGATAAGCAAACAAACCACAGCCCAAGACAACTTTTGTCAGAATAAAAGAAAGTGAGTGAGTGTAAAACAAAAAACCCAATATGTTTAATATATTTGCACGATTTCTTGACTTGCATAATCTTGCAGGTATATCTGTAACAGTGTACATTCAAATAGAATTAAAAAAACTTCCTGGATACTTTTAGAATTCTTCTGCCCAAAACTTAGCAGTTTTATGTGAGTAACCCTATGTGTTGCCAAATTTTCTGAACAGATTTTTTCTGAGGAAAACTTAGATATTTTGTATTGTTACTTATTAAAGTGACATTGGGAACTTGGCATCCCTCCTGCTGGCTTCCTGGCTCTTTTCTCAGAAGGAGTTACTGCTGCCCACCGCTTGCAAGACTATACATTACCTCTGATCTGGCATGTGAACAGCCCCAGATAATCTGTTTGTAGAGCAGTTTTCAGTTAAATAAGAGAAGTCCCCAGCAAATGATTTATCTTTTCTCCTGGGCCATAAGATTTTACACAAAGTTCATAGAAGTAAAATCCACAACAGGAAAAACATACAATAGAAATTTCCCCCTTCAGCAAAATCTGTCCTGAAGCACAGCTGGTACAGATGTATTTATACTTACAATGACAACAACTGAGCAGAAGTACCTCAAAGCATGAAACTGTTCCCTGCCTCTCCAGCTGCATCAGGACTGGTAAGGGACTAATAAGTTAACTCAAAAAAGTATGTTGAAATGGAATGCAATTAACATGCATTTGAAAACAAGAGATGTTAATGTTTTACCTGTTGTACTCTGATAAAGCCTGGGCAATTACAAGTCCCATTCCCTGCAAGAAGAGTTTTAAAAAGTTTGTAATATAAACTGTAACGCAGGAAAACAAACACTGAACACAAATTAGCACCCCTTCCCTCAAAGATACCATAGTATGATGCTAAGAATTCCCCCTGCAGCTGTTTGAATTAATAAAATACACTTACACAACAAAAGCACAACCTAAAAAAAAAAAAAGGCACAAAAATTTAAAGTTGAATATCTATTTATCTAAGTTCAGAGGAGCAAGTTTATTCTGCTTGGGCCACCAGGCATACCTTACTCACTCAAGAAAACTCAAAGTGGCAACAACTCCAGAAGGAAGTGTGTGTTAGAGGAAAGATATCCGAAGGTTCAAAACAAAGGCCATAAACACTAAGGACCTTGTCATTTCTTGTCAACAGCCTCCACCACTCCCCAGTTACTGGTCCTCCCTCTCTGACGAGCCAATTAAATTAACTCAAAATAGTTGCTCTCATCCTTCAGTTAGCACATAGTTCACTTTTACTTCATGCCTAAAGGAAAGTTTCCAAACCCACATCTCTCCTAGCTGGTAGTGCACTGACACTTCTGTATCGATGCTCAAGTACAAAATTTAGGCAGCATCTACAATGTAAAGTATGACTGGGGACTCTTGATTTGGGAGCTACAGTAAATGAGTTAAGGACTTGTAGAAATCTGGTACTACAGCACTGCAGAGCAGATGCCCTTTGGCAAAAGCCATCCTTGGTAAGTGACAGCAAGGAACATACATTTAACAAATGTCTCATAGACCAACCTTAGGATGTTCTTCGCTACCTAGTCTTTTAACCACCCTCATCATTTAACTGATGAACAAACTGTCCAAATCTGGAGTTACCTAACATACAATAGTGCAGAAACCCATCATACAGGTGCTCTTTGCAGCAGCACTGCTCCCAGATCCTCTTTGCACCAGACATTAAGACTGCATTTGTTAACCTCTCACATGGAAAAGCATCCCCAGCAGCACCAAATAATTAAGTCAAATACTCACGTTGAGCGTGGCCTCATCATCTACGATAGAGAGCTTCACAATGTAAGGATTCACTGACTATTCAGCAGCAGGAGAGAAGAAAGAAAGCAAACAGGTTTTAGGTTCAGCTTTCACAGGAAAAGAAACCATTGCTATTATCTTTCAAAGGTTACCTACCCACCTGGGAAGAATTTCCCTCCCATCTCACAAAGCAGAATGCACACAAAGCACCAGAAGTCACATTGCACAGTATGGCTGCTATGCCTTCTCCTTACCTGCTCAGCCAGACAGGCTGCTGATTTCACTGAGAAGAGATGGAGCCTCTGCTCCTTTGCTAGCTGGACTGTCATCACTGAAAGTGGAACAGCTGTCCTGACAGCCTGTTATCAGTGACACACACACGCAGCAGGCACAAGCAGTGAAGCTGGGACTCAACATCACTGTTCTGCTATCTCTCTTCTGCAACACCTCACAAAGATTGCTTAAAGGAAGGAGGACTCAGGAAGGCATGACAACATTACAGACTCATCTGCTGCAGGGTTAGAGCGCAACACTTAACAGCTTATACCACGGAGAGCCAGAAGTCTCTGGAGAATATAAATTCCTTGAACTAAGCTGAACAAAGCACACAGACTCCATCTATAAAGATAAGGCTTAATAATTTAAGGAGCATTTTAGATTAGCAACGTACATTTGTTTTTCTTTGTGTCAGTGCAAAGTTAACAAGGTTGACTTGGAACTAGCACAGAGAAAAAAAGATTCTGTCTGTGCAGTAAGTCCAAAATGGATGGGATGAGCAAAGCACAAAGCATGCACTAGATAGAGCCTTACAAGTTAAGCAATTATCTGACTATTAAGCTCAAGGCTAAACAGAAGGTTAAAAATCCGGCTGACCAGAAAACAACACACTCACAATTATTCTGTGCTTTGAGAAAATCAGATTTTCTCTTTGGTCCAGGGAAAAAACTGATCAGAACATCTCAAAGCTCAGTCTGTCACAGGCTGCACTATTTGCTGCCTCAGAAAATAACACAAAACTCACACAGAACCCATCTGTGCATGAAGCACATAAAGATTTCCTAGAGGCTGGAGGAGAGGCTCCTATAGAGTAACAATATACGCTTCTTTCTGTGCAACCATGATCTTCTGCCATTTAGTCTGTGTCAATAAAGCAGAAGCAAAATTCAAAAATCTGTATTAAAAATATAGCTTCAAATTCATTCTTTCAAACGCATCTTAGTTTTGCTAATTTTGATCATTATGTTGTTCTCATTATACCATGAGGAGAAACTCAGGCCAAGCCTCTCCATCCCACAGCTCACACAGAAGACTGGTCAACCTGTGACCAATAAAAGCAACAAAGTTTTTCCAGACAACAGACAGCAGGGTTATGGTGGGTTAGGGACAATGGGGATTTCCAAATTCCCAGATAAGCAAACTGGAAGATACTGCATTGACCAATATAAACAGGCTGCCCTGAGACCTCAACATACATTCCATACCATCACAGAATTGATAGTGAGCAGGTTCCTTGTCATCTCCAGCCTGTGAACAGCATCCACTGCCCTCGACTCCCCAAGATGTGTGCTACATGTCATCTGCCTAAGAGCCAGCCGTTCCAGTTACTTCCTGCTCATCTGTGATGAACTTCAAACACCCCCTAAGCCCTCCCCCCCATATTCCCTGCCTGTTTCCAATCCTGTTATCTCAGTTTCCTTAGCTTTCTTCTCACTGGGAATTACTGCAAAATATTTGGAAGCCTAAATTACACCCGCCATTCAGCAATGCATGCAGACACACAACAGCCTTGAAGAGGGGCTGATAGGCACCTTGAAAACTCTAGAGTGTGTCAATGAAGTGGTGACACAAACTTAAAAACTCCGCCTCCAACTGCCTCCAGAAAGAAAATGAAAATATGATCCTCATCTCTTCAGAGGACACACTGCCACCAGGGAGTAAATATTAGAGTACTAAGGTCTTCTCTTCATTGATAAGGTACAGACAACTCCCAGAATGCAGGAATACTCAAGATGTCCTCCATGAGCTCACCACCACTAGACACAAATAAGCTCAAAGAAACAAAGGTGGAAGATGGAGGAGATGATTACCAAGTAATTTCTAAAGGATAAGCTAGTTAAAACCAGATCAGAACCACAATTCCCAAGCAAGGCATGTCATACAAGTTGAGAACTATGTGAAAAAGCACACAGATGTGGCAGAGGGAGCTAGATCTTCCCTGCAACTCTAATGCATCTCAAGCTCTGGCATAAACCTACAGGAAGCAAATTTTTGGTAAGAAAATAAAGCAGAAAAATAAGTTAAAAAAAAAAAAAAAAAATCAAGCTACCCATATACAATCTCTAGTTAGATGCTTAACTATATATATATATTTTTTTTAATGTCTGTAACACAAATGAAGGCCAGAGTCCACTTGATTATCCCCGCAGGATTTTCCCCCTGAACATTCATTAGGGATGATTCAGCAGCTTTGCCTCCAGCGCTGATGAGGCCATCTCCTCTGCAGGCAAGGCATCTTGCAGGGAACTGGAGCTTGAAAAATGACTCTTTTTGTTAAAGAGATACATTCAAAATCATTCAAGTTCTGAAAGGGCTTTTATTTTAATAATTTCATGACTCTAGTATTTTTAAGTCTCTTCAGCAACTGCTGGAATCACAGAATCACAGAATTGTAGGGGCTGGAAGGGACCTCTAGAGATCACTGAGTCCAGCAAGGCAGGCCCCCTACAGCAGACAGCTATATCAAGGCAACTAAACATGAAGGGCTGCCTGATACACTATAGCAGACAGACAAGTACAGAAAGAAAAAAAAAGTTTTCATTCCTTTCTTTTCAGTTCTGTCTACTGATGGACACAATACACAATTCTACTGGAAAAAATTAGCACCTAGATGTTATCTAGGAATCAATCTATTGAAAAGTCACTGTTTGATTTATGTTTTAAGTTGCTATTCTAGCAGACATCTCTTACAACATTGAGAGAAGGGCACAGTGAATTACTCTTTGTTGCAGTGTTTCCTCTGCTTGGCATCCTTTTGAGCAGTTAGTTTCACCATTTCCCAATGTAGTCAACTGTTTAATGCTTCTTTCATGTTTCTCTCACATAGCATCAAGGTACAAAATATTTTCTGAGATATGGAATAGGATTATTAAACCAAGAAGTACAGCTGAAGAGTACATAGTTGTCACAAGTTTTGAGAATGATGAGGTTTCAGATCAGTGACACCTCTTTAAAAGTCCCGTGTAAAGACACACAATTTTTACTTCTAGAACAGAAGTTACTGAGCAAACCAAGATCAGAGCTACGCTGGTAACGAAGACATGGACAGATATTCCCCAGGCAATTGGAAGGGAAACTAGAAAATTATGACTGTGTTATTACAGGTATAGCTTATAGTGTGCAACACTTACAATAGGCCGTGTCAGGCAACTGTCATATAAAACCCTTAGCTGAGTTGGTTTCAATCTTACCAGATAAAATAGTGAAGCTGATTTTTCCCTCACCCCCATCTGCCTAAGGTTGGACTGATTTGTTGTCTTTCTGCTTCCTTTTGTAAACATCACCACAAACCATCAGTTGCTTTGGTTGTACAGCTTGAAGTCATCTAGAACATTTCAGGAGCAATGGACCCCAACATTACATGCCTCAAAAAGTTACTGCAAAGAGCAGAGGACAGCTCTTATGTACTCACAGCACACTGCCTTACTCAGGAGATAAACTATAGCACACAGGGAACTTCTCAGGGATGGGATGAGACAGGTCTATCTCTTTTGATCTGAATGTGTAAATGAATACGCTGTAATTAATGAGGAAAGAAGTTACTTAGTACAGGTGGGTTGCAGTTGGACTTGATGATCTTGAAGGTCTTTTCTAACCTGAGCAATTCTATGATTCTGTGATTCTATACTTTGCTCATGAACAAATTAACTAGTTATGATCGTGGACAGATGTAGCAATCCCAATTTCAATTCAGTTTTCCAGCTGCAGGTGCAAAAACTGCAGTGAGAGCCCTGGTCTTCCCACTCTGTCCTCATCAGTAACAATACCCATCAGATTGTTCTCATGGCCCTACGCTGAAACCGCATGCTCCTGCTCCATGTTACCATGGCACAGATTGAACAGTCTGTAGTTCTGGATTCAGACAACACCCACAGGAATGGGAAATTAATAGGAATTGCCTTGTCACTGAGAGTACTCTGTGCCTTCACCTTTTCTCTAAGTCTATCCATAATTCAAAGCAAGCTCTATTACAAAATCACACAAGTTCCCCCTACTCAGTTTTTCAACCAAGGAGAGGATATTCCAGAACTTTTCCACGTTTTCTACCTGTCAACCTACTCAGAGTAAAATATTGCTAATTGCAGGAGTGCGGGGGGTGTGGTAGGGAAGAAATAAAGACCAATCATTCAAGCATCACTCCTCCTGCAAAGAAAAGCAAACGCCAACTAGGTGGTTTTTTTTGACATTTGAAGTGTTTCTTTTCAAGGTGATAAGCAGAGCAAAAAAACAGGGTGGAATATGTCACAAAGTAGCACAACCAGTTTATAAAAGTAAAGATGAATAAAGCTTCTCAGAGAAGAATCGGGCAAAGAAGAGTCAGATTTCTCCTGGAAATGCTACTGCTCTGATGTTTCAGTTCATTCTTTGGACATATCTTCAGCATGCCTTCTGGGGATCTACATTCCCTCAGTCTGCTAGTCAGGTTCTGAATCACAAATTCAGTCTGAAACTCAAGGTGACTGACAACTAATTTAACTTTGGAGATAATATATAAGCAGTGTCACACATCAAGAGGCAAGCACGCAACTTCTGCACAATACAAACTCTTACAAGGGAACCTTCCCTAGAATACTTTCAAAAAGGAAATGAGCACTTCCTAGGCAGTTTCTCATGCATGCACAACACAAACTCTATATTAAATACACTGATCATACACACACACACACGCATCTGAGACAGATACAATTAGCAAAATAGGACTGCCTCACAAAGTTTCCGTAGCTTTGATAAAAGCTACCATTTGTACTGCTAAAAATGTACTCTAGGCCTTCTTAATAACTCAGAGGCCAGTACAAAATAACTGAGAGAAGACAGATTTCTGTTACCTCATACTTTCTGTAGTTGACCAGCAAGGCAAGTAGGACAACAGCATCATAGCCATGCTCCCTGCGACTAAGTGGGCTGGACAGAATCTGAAATAAAGATTTGCATTATTCTTTTCAGGCCTGCTTTAGGAAGCTTGCAGTGACTCTGAGAACATACATGGCAGTAAAATGTATGTACAAGAGCAAATTATATCCTAAAGAGGATATTTATGACTTAGGGAGTGTCAGTGCTTCCGAGAAACATTGCACAGAGGGAAACTTACTTGTCACAAGCAGAATGTATGCAGGCTTTCTGGGCAAAAAGCAAATACATTTCTCAACACCACTGGACATCTCAGTGCAACTATGACATCCTATGTTTTCCCAAATCCAGCTTCAGTTGTAAAAAGTATAATTTACCAAAGAGCAGAAAAAACTCCATACATCCAGACTGACTTTCGAATCAAGTTTCCCCAGTAAAAGCTGCTTCTACAAAATTAGCCCATAAATCCATTCAGCTTCCAAGGGCAAATGACTCGAGTGAAAATGCCTTAAATATTCAGCAATGACTAAGAACAGCAGACTGAAGTAAGGAGCCATAGATTCTAATTATTTATTTACTCTAAATATCTATTTTTTTTTTTTTTTACCTATTCACGATGCTACGAATGGAAGTAGCACACACTGCCTGTTACTTACGCTGCAATGAAAAGGCTGAAAAGCAAACATAAGACTGGGAAAAAAAAAAAAAAAAGCATGGAAGAAGAGCTCCTGCAGTAGAGTGAAAAAAAATCCTTACCTGTAATATAGCTTCAAATATGCTGTTAATCATCACATACTCCAGGATGGTGTTCTGGCTTATGTTATCTGTCACCTAAGTACAAACACGAGTTAAAATCTCAAAGCCTCCCATGATGCTCTAGCTGCCTCTGGCAGACAGCAGGGACAGCAGCATTATACTACCAGACTGACACATTTATTCAGAATCTCTCACTTAGTCAGCAAGTCAAGGGTGTGCCGAGCACTACAGCCAGACACGAGGGGAAATCTGCCCCGTCTTCTACCACTGTCATTTCTGGCAAAAGACATGACCCACGGACTGAGCACCCCATTTCCTCTGCAGATTGATGCAAGACAGCTGCATGATAGCACTATCAGCAACTGAAAATGTCTGCTGCACTGGAGGTAGAGGGTGAAAAAGCAGAGCCTTTATTTACCGTCACCAAGCAGAGGAGTAGCTTCAGACACAAGCTTTTCAGACTTTCAGAACCTTCTGCACAGAGTAGCGAGTCCAAGCTCTCCATCAGATTCTAAAAAAAAAAAAAAAAAGAACAACAATCATGCAATTTCAAATTAATATTTTAAACTATTTAAAATAATTCTTATGAATTTGAGATTCAAGAATAGCAACACAAAGCTGTGTTATTCCAAAAATCAGCAACTGAACCACGTCCTGGTTTAAGCTGGGATGTAACTACTGTATGTACACATAGCTATACACCACAGACTACATTAACACCATTGCTTCTCATTTCTGCTTTATGTTAACTACATTTTTATGACCGCAAGCATAACATCATGATCTTTCTCCAAGTCCTGCCTAGATGCACATCAGGTTTTTGTATATGCATCTGTCTACAAAACACTGCCCCTGCAACATGGCTGCTGTGCAAAGCGTTTGTCTACATAGGCAAGGCCTCACCTTCATACAAAGCTCTGCCTTATCAAATCCCACAAGCATGTTGATGATGTCAAACCCAGAAGTAGATTTGTTCTTCTGATGGACACCCCGTATCAGTGCACACAAAGTCTGCAAACAAAATATTCAGAGGATAAGATGTAAGCCAACACCTACAACTCCATAACATAACTTGCCCTAGAGCACTCTCAGAGCACTAGCAAAACAGTGATATTTATACAAATAGCATCAGCCTAGAAAGGACTGTATTTGCTATATATCCTCCACCTCTGTTGTTTCTAAGGGGTATGTGTTGGATTCTGAGAACTCAGGAAAGAAAACAATTAGAGAAAAAATGTATTTGTCCACATTTTTCCTGCCCGATGCCCCTTACAGACTGAAACTTATATTCTGCACTTCTACAGTTGAGAGCAGCTGGGATGAATGCGTCCAACAAACTGTCAAGAATTAGCCTGGGAACTAATAGCAGTAAATGTCAAGACTGAGGACAGTCTGCCACACAGGGCAAGCGCTGGTAAAGAACAGCAGCTTCTTGTTCTGGGTGATGATTCTTCATAGCTTCCAACTAGGAAATGTCCAGCAGGGACAGTTTCCTGCATAAATTTGACATGAAATTCTCCATTGTTTTATTTTAATTTTGACCCACAAGGAAATTAAAAAGGAGGGTAAAATGAAGGAGAAAGGAGAAGACAAACAAAGCTACACAAAGTATTCTACAGCCCCCAAATGATAGCTTGTAGAGAGAACAAGGCCCTCCCACTCCCTCCATTACCACCTATTTATTCTGCAGCACCAGATCCTCTTGAATTTTGAAACAAGCTATTGTTCCTCAAACATTAGAGAGACTACGAGCACATGTAACCTCCACCAACCAGACACAGCAACTGCTCTGTAGACACCATTTCTCCTCACAACTAAAGTAGTATGAACAAGATGCTTGATTCCAGAGGCAAACATATTGCCTCATCAGAAGCAGAAGAGAGTATTTCCCATCTCTCAGCTGTGGTACCTGTAGTGCATTGACCACTCTGATTGGGTGCTCCTCACCCAGTGCCTGGATGCAGTGCTGAAACAAGCAATTGATGTTATCTTTTATCTTCATCAACTCTTCCCCATCCAGAGCCTCCAGCTTGCCTTCCAGATATTCCAGGTTGACCTGTCAGGTTAAGGAGCAAATCATGCACATTACACAACTGCTGACACCTTAGGAAAGCAAGTCTTTGCATTGACAGTCTGCTATCTCATAGGCAGAACAGCAGCAGCAAATCAGGGGATGTTCAGTTCTTGTTACCTTCATGAGAAACAGCTCCTCCCAAAACCTAGGGTTGCTTTTACTGGGGTCCTCTGTCTGAAAGAGGAAGGAACAGCCAATGAGAGCAAACAATAACAAATTATTCAGGCAGAGTTTGAACAAAATCACTACCACAAGTAGGTCAGAGACACTGGATGACCAAATGGTCTAACAGTACAGCGTACTGCCTGCAAAGATTCTCAGTAATAAAACAGCAAACAGAAGCAGCTCTCATTTGAGATGTTTCTGGATTACTTTTTGAGAAACACTTGAAAAGCCATGATGTCACACAGATAACAAGTGGTTCTGGCAGACATCAGGATAAATGGACATTAAGGAAGAGAGCAGATTACAGAGTTCCGCATGACAGCAGGAGAACTTGAAGTGCGTGCCTATGCTGTGCAATACTTACCAAGGGAAAAGAATCCAGCAGGCAGAGCCCTCAGCACAAACTACATAAAATTTACCAGAAGTGCCCTGGGCCTTACCGTGAAAATCTCATCATACATCAACACAACCTTCTCTTTCAGTGGCTTCTTGGAGGCTGAAGATTTCCGGAGCAGCCCACCTTTCTTCTCTGTTTGGGCCATGCTGGACACCTTGAAGAGATCAAGAGACCAAGGGAAGAAAAAAAAAAGCTAAAGAACCTTGAACTTTCTTCAAGGGATACCTAGCCTGCTTCAGCCATGAAAGATGTCTTCACTACAAATAAACTCTCACAAGCTGGAAGCAGAAGTTTTAATAAATATCCTTGATAAGAAATCAGACCAAAAGTCCCATCCAGTCCTAAAACCTATTTCAAAGAAAGGTGCTGAAGTTCATCCACAGGCAGATACAGAATAAGCAGTTCATCACAGAACCACAGAATGGTTGCAGTTGGAAGGAATACTTGGGATCATCAAGTCCAACCATTCTGCTACAAGCAGTGTCACCTAGAGCATATTGCCCTGAATCACATCCAGAAAACATTCCTTGGTCACTTTCACAGCAAAAGATTTTCTAGAAATGCAAACAAGGTTTCCTATAATTAAGTAATTAGTGTCCAATGCTTCCTGTTTATACCAGTGGACAAAAAAAAAAGAAAAAAGTATCATTTCTATAAAACAAGCTGCTCAATAAAGCAATAGCCACAGCTGTAGCCCTGAGTCATTTGCAACTATTTCAGGGGCTGACAGTCAGAATGCATGGTTTGCCACGTCCCCTCAGCCCCACATCTGATGCAAGCAAAGCACATCACCACCCTGGCCTCACAAACATGTATTCCTCCGCAAGCTCAGAATTTTCTGGCAAGCATTGCAGATTGAGCAGCATTCTAACCTTCTCTGTCACTGCAGCACATCAGAGATACTCAGCAGAAAGGGAACGCTGTGCCCTGTCAGATCTCCAACTCCAAACCCTCCTAACCAATACCTCCAGAGATGACTACGCACATGGGAGCAGCACACCTCAGGCAAAAGCACAACTGAAGTCATGCTCCAAAAAAAACCACAGACAGGCCGTGGTGGCAGCTGCACTCAGCCACGCTGAATTACGTGCAGCGAGGTCAGCACACTGCAGCCTGCCTCTGGGACCCCACAGCTTTCTGAGGCTGCAGCCATAGAGACAGGTTTGTGTTCAGTCTCCACCCCAGACTGCCTGAAAACAACTGTGGCACACTCAGATCCATCCTTCTCTCAAAGAGCAACTTCTAGCAACTACCCAACGCCCGTTCCAGATCTGTTCTGCATTCTTGCCACTGCAGACAGCTTTGGATCATCTCACACCACAGCCCCAACTAAGACTCCCAGGTTCCCAAAGTCTGCTACAGATTACTCAGATATCCATCCCTTGTGCCATAAACCTCAATTCCAAATGGCAGGAGGCTGAAAAAAATGCTGCTGCCCTTCCCCAGGTGTGAGGGCAGGAGGTCTGTCACAATGGGAAAGCAGTGGGCAGGACGGAGAGGGGTTGATCTCACACCTGACAAGCTGAGATTTACATAGAGGTGGAGCAAGGTGCTGCCTCTTCCAGTTAGGATGGGAATATGGACAGCTGGCTGGTTGAGAGCCAGTCTGTACATGGCAGGTGAGAACGGAAACTGCCCTGGGAAACACTGATAGAAGAACACGGAGGACCTGGTGCTCTGTAACCTAGGCAAACACAGACATCGCTGCTGTCATCTGCTAGGCCTATGTGGCCAATTAAGGTGGAGAAAAGGTTGCAAACCAACAAATGAAAAAGAAAACATTACTCAATCATCTTGATAGCTTCTCTTCTACAGTCTGCATTATTTCTGAACTGTCATGGGAAATGAGACATTACCCTAATTAGAACCATAACGGGAAACAGAGAGAAACCTATTAAAAACCAAATCAAGAGCAAAGTCACTGTTAGCCTAGCAATATAAACCTTACCCAGGATTGCACAAAACAATTTCCCAACTGGAATTCTAAGGTTCTGAACCTCAAGCAGCCGCCATGCCCAGCACACCAACACATCCATCAGCGTGCTTCTAATTGAATCACAGCTAATGAATCCCAGTGTCAAAACTAATAAACTATCTCACGGCGCTTCTAGGTCAGCGCTCTCACACCAAACACATCTGTGCACGGAGGGGATCAATACACTACCTAGCCTCTGAATGTCCAGCAATACATTTTAGCACTTTTCCTGCATTCTCCAGAAAGATGGAGAAGCCAAAATCCTGCAAGGCACAAATGCTCGATGCTCAGCGAGCACCAGAGGGACGGCATGAGCAAGTGAACGTCCTCATCTCTGTCAAAATGAGACTTGGGATTCATATTCTCTCAAGCAGGGCTGCACGCAGTACAGACAAAGATGACTGCTAGAGGTAAGGATTAAATAACGCTCTTGTTTATGATTTGCTGCTCTACAAATGAGCATATGGAAGAACAAAGGGGAAAAGTGTAAGTCGCCTTTCACGCCAGTCTCTATTAGGCTTTGCTTGTTTCATGACCTATGATGATCAGGCTGTACAAATGGTTTTTTCTTTTCGCTTCACGCAATCATGTTCTCTAGATGTCATAAAGACAGAAACAGGAAACTGCCTTTTGCTAATGGGGACCTTCTAGGCAACTGCAGAAAACAGAAGTCAAATGCACAAAACACTCCTAAGTTGCAGAGGTGCCAAATTCACGTAGCTTTTGAAAACACCAAATATAGTTAACAATTATCCTTTAAAACACCCTGCGTTTCAAAAGCATGGGTGCCAATTCCCCATTTCAGGTTCTCATGGCTCATTTAGTCTGTCAATAGGTCAGTGCCATTAACATGCACTGCTAAGTGAATCCTGCCGTGGTCACTGAAGGCACAGAGCCGTCCCCAGGGCAGAGAGAAGCGCCTGCACACAGATGCCTAGAGCCATGCTATGTCGTTGTGCTGCAGAGCATCCAAGATGTTCAGCAGGAGCTAACAGAAAGCTTAGCAGAGCAGGAGTCCTGGCAGCTCAAAGATGAAAGGCAGGCAGATAGAAGTTGAGGCAGATCTGCCTTATTTCTCATCAGCCCCAGGATCAGCTGATCCAGCCAGGAACAAAGGAATGAGCACATCCAGCCACCCGCCTCCCATCCACCCCATTCCACAACTTGTACTAGAGATCTACATCAGTCATGTGACATTCAGATGAAGGCATCCTTGTCAGCATTCAGTTAGACCATCCACCAAATTTACAAAGAAAAACCTGACATTTTGAGCCTGACGTTTATTCAGACTTGAATGTTTTCAAGGTTACAAAACACACATACAACTAAACACAAATGCTTTCTTCGGTCTAGAAGCACCAAAGCTACACCCTTACACTATCTGGCCAAATAAAAAACAAACGGGTAACACCAAGTGGGATTTTCATGTATGTATTTAATTGTCAAACCATTTATTCTGTACCTGAAGAAGGTAGTACAAATGATGTGATCGTATTAGTTTGCTAATCTCAAACCAACGTTAATCAATACTAATGAAAGCTCTGAGTAAGACCTGAGACACTGCCCCTTTCTGAATCCAATCCCTTGGCTCGCTGCTGCTGCTGCTGCTAAGATTAGTCTCCTTCATTTAGAAGATCACCAGCTGGGTAATCAGCCCGTCCCCAGCTGCACACACCTGGGACCAGCAGGACCATGCTTTGCCTTCTGAAGCACTTGGCAGCCACACCACTTAAACCTAAAGGAGAGTTTTTCAAAAATGGTGCAGACCATGGGTGAGGGACAAACCTCTGCCTAAAAGTGACCTATGGCTTGTAAGAGTCAGATTGTAGTCCAGTCCTTGTACTCTTCAGCGAAATTCCAGCAGAAACTTGCACTGAATACACACGATGAACCTGCAGGGCCAGGCAACAGGGCAGTTAAAATCACAGCTTCCAGCACTCGTCTGTCAGAGGAAGCTGCAGTCTGCACTGTGCACATGAGCTTACAAATCCAAACGTAGGACAGTGCCCTGACCCAGTTCAAGCTCCCCACCACCACCACCACCAGGAACCACAGAGCAGCAGTCTGGGCAGAACACCAATGAAAACAGAGAGGGGAGGGACGTGGTGGGCTGCATTTTGTCAAAGCTGAAGCAACCACCACAATCAAATTTCTGTTACAAGCCCTTTAGCAGCTTTCACTCTGCCAACTCTTATGTTGACAATTACAGCCCATGCTAACAGGTCCATGCTACTTTAGTACTTCGTCCATTCCTTACAGCTTTATCTGCATATCATCCATTGGAATGAAAACAGCTCAGGCCATATCTCTTGTTACAACAGTGCAGCACCCAGCACACCCGCCAGGGAACTGCTATCACTCACAGAACAGAAGCCTTGGATCAATCTGGCACGATTCCCACATGCCTTCATGTAATACAGAACAAGAAATATATTCTGAGGATACGACAACTAAAACCCACACATTTTCTACTTCTTTTTTTTCGCCAGTACCAAGCAGCACAGCCTCAGAGCACGTGCTTTTACTAGCCAGCCCTTCCACCCTGCTCAGAGCAGCAGCAGTGCATGCTTCTACACAGCACAACCCATACAGCTACAGCACTACTGACCTATCTGCCTTGCCCTGAAAAACAGAAAAAGTGATTTCTAACACAGATACAGCCACAAGCTTGCGCTGCACCTGCCTTAGCAATGATAGAAAGGAATAACATCCAGGTTACATTTTTGACGTTACATTCATAACTGCCTTTCATTTCTATCTGTCCAGTTGAAATAACACCAACTTCACAATGCCGTGTAGCTGAGCTTCTTCCTGCCGAGCCCATCCACACAAGCGTCGCATGCTCACAGCTCCATCTGTTCAGACCGTTTTTCCAAATTAACTCTTTCATTTCATCACACTTCCTCTCCATACTTCTGGCTTAGCTCTCAGCTGCGAGAAAGCCTCTTTCGGTTTTCACTTTTCAAGCCTCTCAGAATCCATTCCACCCGATTCACCACGAAATACTCAACGCTGCCTCCACACCCACAGCTAAAAGCTCGCTCCACCTGAAGACGTTTTCAGATGCCTTCCTTCCGAAGGAAAACGCCGTGCCCCAACGCTCCCCCCCCGCCTCTCCCCTCCAGCCGTCAGCGCAGTCCCAAGGCCCAGCCCGAACGCAGCGCAGCAGCACAGCCTCGGCTCCCACTGCTGAGGAAGCCGCTACGTTCCAAGGCGCCGCAGAGCAGAGCGGAGGCACGCAAGGTAAGGAACGCACAGCTGCAGCAAGGTAAGACTTGAGACGCGGACCGCCAGCAGCAGCACGCGCTCGAGGCAGACGCGCCACAGCCAGGGGACGACCGACCTCCTTCTCCTCACCTCCCGACACTCCCCTCCGAAGCGCCGCCCCTCCTACAGGAGCCGAGGCGGCGGAGCAGCACGCCGCCCTCCTCGCCCGCCGCAGCGGGACGCGCCGTTAGGGCGGCCGACGAGAAACGCTCCCGGCCGGCGCCGTGCCGGAGCGCGGGGCCGAGCCCTCGCGGCCGCCGCCTCTCGCCGGGCCGCACCCGGGGGCTCCCCGGAGAGGCCCGAAGCGGGCCGGGCTCCTCCGCCCTCGCTCCCGGCGGCCCGAGGTGCCCCGGACCGCGGCGGTGCGACGCGTCCCGCCCCGCTTCGCGGGCTGCGGGCACCGCGACCCCCCCGCCCGCCGCTTACCTGCGGGCCCGCCGCTCCGCTCCGCAGCGCGCGTGCGCCGCTCGCGATGCCGCGCATGCGCCCCGAGGGGCCCGGCGCCGCGCGGTCCTGGCGCCGCCCGCACGGCCGCTGTCAGCGCCGTTCCGCCGCGCTCCCGGCCCCGCTGTCCGCGGCGGCGATGGGGGCGGCCGGGCGGGGCCGGCGTCGGGCCGAGGGCCCGGCGGTCCCGCCGCGCTCCTCCCGCGGAGCCCGGAGGTCGCGGCCGCGCAGCCTCCGCTGAAGCGGCGACGGAAGTCGGAGAGGGGCGGCCCGGCCCGGCCCGGAGCCCCGACGGGGAGCGGCTCCGCCCGGAAGCCGCCGCCTCGTGATTGCGCAGCGCCCAGCCGAGCGGCCGGCCCGGCAGGTAGGGCGCGGGGGCCCGGAGGCGGGGGGGGCGGGAGCCCGGGGGGGAGCGGAGGGAGCCGGGAGGGCCGGGAGCCGTGCCGGTGGAACCTCAGCCCGCTGTCGCTGCGCAGGGCGCGCCGCCGAGATGAAGCCGTCCGGGACGCTGCGGCGGCTCTCCGACTTCAGCGACCTGAGCCGGGGCCGCAGGCTGCAGGAGCTGCTGTGCCACGGCGAGGAGCCCCGACGCGTCCGGCCCAGCCCCGACGGGAGGCACCTCGTGCTGCTGCAGGAGAACCGGCCGCCCGCCCTGCCCCAGGTGGCGGCCTTCCAGCTGCGGGGCGGCGGCGGCGGCGGCGGCGGAGCCGAGCTGGAGAGGAGCTGGCGGCCCCCGCAGCCCGCCCTGGCGGGACTGGTGTTCCCGCAGAGCCCCGCGGCGCCGGGCCGCTGGGTGCTGGGCATCGTGTGGGAGCACGGCCGCACCGAGCTCTGGCGCTTCGTCCCGGCCGCAGGCTGGCAGCTGCTGCAGACGCTGGAGCTGTGCCAGGGTGCCCGGGCGCGCGTCGTGTCCGTGTGCAGCCAGGCGGCCAGCCTGGTGTGGTGCGAGGAGAGGCCGCCCCTGGACGCCCACTCGGACATCAGCAAATGTGCCTTCAGGTTCTGCGTCTGTGCCCGCGCCCTGGAGCTGGGGGAGCAAGGCGTGCGGCTGGGCCCCGTGAGGATAGTCCTGCACAACTGCCCCGAGTACCGGGTCCTGGCATCTCCTCGGCACGTCTTCCTGGTGCCCGCTTCTGGCGGCTTCGCCACCGCCTCCAAGTTCCTCCTTGTCTGGCATCCCGAGCAGGCAAAGCTCACCGTCGCAGCCCCCTCCGCAGGCTTTGTCCACAGCAAAGTGCTGCACTCCAGCAGCGAGTCAGACTTCAGGAAGCTCCTGCTTGGCTCCGTGGGTCTCCTCTCAGCTTTGGTGCCTTTGGACATTCACACCTGTGCTGTGTCCAGCTGTGGGGCTCTGCTGCTGGTGAGCAGGAAGGGTGCTGTGAACGTGCTAGAGGCAGATGGGACGCAGAGGCACGTCTTTGACCTGGGAACGGAGCCTCTGGCCCAGGGTGATGCTGTTGAGCTGAAGACATATGGTAGCATCTTGGCCTGCGTGCTGGCTGGGGTTCTGTACCTTGTCGACCAGAACAGTGGGAGGGTCATAGAAAAGAAAATCCTGAGCATGAAGGAAGTGCATTTCCTGGAGTCCCCGGGAGAGGAAGATAGCATTCGGTTCCTCGCTCCAACTGGCATCTACAGCTTTAGTTTCTCCAACCCTGAGGAAAGTGGCAGGCCTGAGCCGTGCCTGGTGGAGATGGTGTTCGAGGAGGCCTGCAGGTACTACCAGAGAAGGAGTCTCAGCAGCTCCAAGCTGACAGTGGAGAAGTTGAAGAAAGGTGGAGTCTTCCAGGCACCCGTGGCCCTCACTGCCATCCTGCAGCACAGCCTTCACCAAAAGCAGAAGCCAGCCCGAGGCCTCCAAGACACTTATGTCAAGCTGCTGAGCACGATCAGCCTGGAGCTGCAGAGCTACCTCAGCCTGGAGCTCCTCAAAACCTGTGTGGTGAGTGCCTCAGAGAGCGAGGTGGAAAGTTACTGCGAGGAACTGGTGGAGCAGGAGGTCAGCCGCGTTCTGCACTCTGACATGGACAAGGACAACCTGGCCTACCTGAACTCTGTCTTTACCTCCTTCCCCAGGGCTGCCTGGAAGGCCACCAGGAGCTGCCTGCAGCTACAGCAGAACGGGGATGGCCTTTTGGTGGCCCGGGCCACCCCAGAGGTTTGGAAGAAGGTCCTGGGAGGACCACAGCAGGAGGAGGTGGGGCAGAATGGGGTGGTCCCGATCTTTGAACTCATCTGTGCCTCCTTCCTGAGGTTCAAACCCAAGTGGCTGCCCAACTTTGTGGAGCTGACCCAGCAGTACGTGAGCATCTCCTGGCCATACAGCAGCAAGGAGGGCCCCGAAGGCCGTGTGCCACTGTACAAGAGAGCCCTGGGAGTACTGGCCAAGAAGAGCAAGCACAGTGAGGTGGATGATGAGTTGGAGCTCGAACTGCTGCTCTGCAGCAAGAGGCCCAAGGCCGTGCTGCAAGCTCTGCACCTTCTCATCCGCCTGAAGCAGTGGCAGCGGGTGGTGGAGGTGGCTGAGAAGTTCTCCAAGCTCAGCCCTTTGCTTAATAAGGAGATATTCACCACGCTGCTAGCAGAGTTCGCCCAGCACCGGGAGCTGGACCCTTACCTGGACACGCTGTGGCCGCTATGCCCTGCTGAGCTCAGCACCTCAAACATCCTTGCCGTGGTCCTGCAGCACCTCCCTTGCTCCCAGCAGGACCCGGTGCCCTTCTCAAGCGAGGGGAACCAGCTGACTGTGGGCCTGCTCAAGCCGCTGCTGCAGCGGGTCATGCAGCGTCCCTGCGTCCAGGACGAGATGTACTCAGATGCTTTGCAGAGCCCCACCTTCCCCCCTCCCACCCCACCCCGAGAACACAAGAACCCTCCAAAAGCAGTGGGCAGCGATGCTCCTCAGCCAGATGGGGCAAGGACTTCTGCCTCAGCACTGGTGCGGGGTGACACTGTGTAAAGGGGAAAGCACAATGGGATCCCAGTCCTTGGGTGTGAGGGAAGGGGAAAGCCACATCCACTCCAGGAAGCCATGCCCTGCCTGGCAGCAGGGAAGCCTGCCCCATTTTGAAGCCTCGAGTCCGTGGGGGCTGGAGTTGGGTGTCCCACCTGAAGCCAGGGCTGGCTTTCTGGTTGTTTCTTGCAAGTGCAATTGTTTGTGCCCCTGTAGAGGAGCAAATGTCAGGTGCATTTGTAGATGAAAGCACTGCATCACAGGACTGCAGAGCTACTCCCTGCCCAAAACATTCTGATTTTGGTTTGCTTGACTCTTTGCAATTTCACTTCTAGTTTTCCAGTCCTCTGGGAGCAGTGGTCTGGAGCAGACACAGCCTTTTCCCCATTCTGTGCTCAGCAAGTGGGGTGATGCCTCCAGGCTCTGCCTGTTTCTTGCAGTGGGGTCATTGTGTCACTGCCCTGAGCTCGGCAAGATGCCAGAATGGTGCAGCTCTGTGATACTGGGAGTCCCAGCATGCACTGGCAGCTGCAGCACTCCATCTCACTGCAATTCCTCTGGGAGCAGCCCTGCAGCTGTGACCAATTGCAGCTACTTAGCTGAGGAGAGCAGCCTAATTCCCTTATCTCTCCATCCCAGCCGGTACCCAAATTCTCTTTCGAGCTGAGAAGCTGGCAGCAGCCCGGGCAAGCTTGGGGCTGGCCCTGCCTCTCCCTTTCCTTTGTGGAAGCTTAGATTATGCCGCGGGACGCCAGGGCCCTCCATCCCCATCTCTCCTACCTTTGCCCTTTGCACACAAAGGGGCTTTGTCAGGGTTGTCTGGCTCACATTGTGCCTCTTTGCAAAGTCAGTGTAACGTGAGAGCAGCCGTGCAGGAAGATGCAGGTTCCAGCCTGTGCTCAGTGAGCCCCGGGCTGTGGTGCAAAGGGACCCCCAGCCGTGGAGCCACCTGGTGCTGTGCCAGGCTGGGAGCGGGTGGGGAAAGTCCACTGCATTATTCCTCCTGAGAGTGGGGTCAAGTGGAGAAGGCAGTCTCATTTTAAAAATAAAGATTCCTAAAGCAGTGCTGGGCAGTGGTGAATGCTGTGAGGGTACAAGCGAGGGAGGAGGGCGGTTTGCGTTCGCTCCTGCTGAGTGGGAGCCAAGCTTGGCTCCCAGTGGGACCGCAGCCTGAAGGCCACGCGTTGCTGGGAGCAAGGAGGGCCATCTGTGCTGCACAGCCTATGGCTTTTGGTGCCATGAGCACCCCTGAAGGCCCCTGGGTGGGTGTCGGGGGAGCTGTGGCTGGCCACTACGCTGGAGTTGGGAAAAGGAGGGATTTTCTCTAAAGCTGTGGCTTGTCCCTTTGTTCCCAGCTGGAAAATCAGCAGCAGGGTGGCTTCCTCCTGCAGTGGCAGAGCCGCCCTTGGAGGGACCCTGCTGTGTCCAAACACAGCCGTGTGCCAGTTCCTCCCCCAGATGGGGGCTGAGCTGCGGAAAGTCCCTGTGGTGGAAAAAAAAGAAAGAACACAACCCTGGCAATGGGGAAGAGGAACCTCTGCAACGGTTCCCTGGAGGCGGGGGGCTGGTTACCAGGCAGCCCTGCCTCGGGCTGGGCCTTGTGCTGCAGCCATGGGGTGCTGCCTTCTCCCAGCTGCCACTCACATGAACTCGGTGAAAGCATAGCATACAAGGCCCCGGTGGCACCGCTGTGAGCAGCGCTAGCCTCTTCCCCAAGCAGCTGCCACACCATCTGATGCTGCCCTGGGCTCCAGGGCTGGGCAGAAGGGAGGAGGAGGAGGGTGGAACAGACCACGGCTGCTCACAGAGCTGCAGCCCCAGGGAATGGGATGCTGCCGTGTGTTGGCAAAGGTTGCGCAGGGCAACAGGTAGGTATGGGGCTCCACTTATGGTCAGGACATGTGCTGGGAGAGACAACAGGAGGTAAGGCTGGCACAGGTTCAGGTAGTAGCTCCTGAAGGAAAAAGGAGCCTCTCTAAGATCAGAAGCAAAAGGGTAAAGCAGATGAACGTAGCAGAGTGTAAGCTGGCCTGCTCCAGTTCATCGCTCCCTCCGATAAGGCTTGGACTTTGCATTGAAGGAAATGAGTCACGCTGTGCATGTATGCCTCCCAGCCCAGCCTTTGGAACAGTCCCAGAGCTTCAGCCAAGGAGCAGCACAGCAGCCAGCACACGCTCAGCCCATAACAACATGCAGCTCCTGAGGAGCTCCAGGGGATAGGCAGGGGTGGGCACCAGCACATGGGGGCCTCCACCCAGTCCCCCTCCAGGAGGAAACCTTCACCCTGGGGAGCACCAGAATCGCCAAGGATCAGGGCACTGACCTGCAGCCTCTTGCACCAAGCAGCTCCTGATCTGCAGCGCTCAGGGAAGGTCCTGAACCATGCTAGGACAGCACCTAGCCCTGCTGACAGTGGTCCTCAGGAGGCAGCCCGTTTGGTCCCGTGACTGGCTCAGGCTCCAGGCTGAGCTCCTGCCGTTGGCAGGCAGGGGCTCACTTGCAATCAAGAGCCCTCTAAGCACAGCCCCAGCTTGCACCAGCAGCAGGGAAACAACTGCCCCAGATCCCCTCTTTGTACACCTGACCACAATGGAAGGGTCAAGGAGAAAAGTGTATAGAGCTACCCCATACCTGCAACATGAAATCACCTCATTTATTGTTTTACACCCAAAATCACAGCACTGGAGAGTCAGGCTCCCTGCACAAATAAATACTCACATTGGTTATGGAGTGGCAGGCTTGGGTAAGAAGGTTCCCCTCAGCCAGCAGCATCTGCCTGTGCACACAAAGCAGGGGGGGTCCTGGCCCAGTCCCACACCACAGCATGGCTGCAACGAGCCGTGGGGGAGATGCTCTGCTACTCCTCCTCTTCCCTGCCACCTCCCCCAGGTGATGAGGGGTAGCAAAGCCCCACCTGGGGCAGTGCAAGGGGCACACATCCTTCTCCTGCAGGCTGTCTCCCAGCTGCAGCACATCACCACTTATTGGGAAGTGGGGAGAGGGCTCCCAGCCTGTTCCCAGTGCTAAGGGAGAAGATGCAGCAGACAGAGCTGTCGTGTTCAGTGTCCTTAGTGCCTGTGCTGTGTTGATGGAGGCTAATGCCTTGTAGCTGGCCGGGGGATTTTGTACAGGTTGAATGCAGGTCCTCTGCAAAATCAAGGGTGCCTGTGTCACGCACAGCCACAGAGGGCAGCAGGGGACAGCCAAGAATGCCACGGGAAGGCAGAATGCCATCCCTCTCATGCCCAGCACCCCAAAGGAGGAGGGGGGAATGTGGTAAAGGGACCCCAAAACAGCATTACTGCACAGGTCCCATCCTGCTGCCTGCACCCCCCTCAGCTTGTGCTTTCCAGGTTCCTCTCCTTGTCCCCCATGCCACAGGATTTACCCCAAGTAGGGACCCAGCACTGCTACTTACATCTCCACAGCTTCTTTCCTAGGGGGAAGGAAAAAGAGGGGATCACGTCAGTGAGACTGAGGGGCTTTTTGAGGGCCCAGCCCAGCATAACGCTGCAGGATGGGGCCCTTCCAGGGCACACAAGGAAGGTGTGGAGGCTGTAGGGTTTGACAGTCCCTCCATTCCAGCCACCTCATCTGGGCACAGTGTAGGGGCTCCTGCAGCCCATGGAGTTTTGCTATTCCCGAGCATTGCTGCTCCAGCAGCACACAGCTCCTTTGGCCCCATTGCAGCTCCACCAAGGGGTGGTTTGCAGAGCAGACCCCAGACCAGCACCACGGCAGGGCAGATCCTCACCTGTAGTCGTCATCGATGTCCATGCGGCGGTAGAACTTGGCGAGTCGCACGGCCAGGATGATGCTGGGTAGCAGGAACACAGTGCACAAGCCCAGGCTGAACCAGAAGGTGTTCTGGGAGCAAGGAATAGTCAGCAGCCACCCCATCAGCATCATCTTCCACCCTACGTTTGTGTCACCCCTCTCACCATAGAGTCCAAGATGTGGTCACAGGCGATGGCCTCCACGTTATCCAGGCTCTGGGCTATGGGCTTGCAGCGTGCCACATCCATCCTCAGCTGCGGATACAGCTGGGGCAGGTCATGCTGGGGTCTCCCCAACTCTGCCCCTCATCCCTGTGCCTGGCTGGGTCAGGCTCACTCACACTGCTCTTGGCCCAGGTGATGTAGGTCTCAAAGAAATCCAGCAGCTCCTCTAGAAAGGCCCATGTCTCCTGTGGGGGGGCAGGCAGAGAGAGGGGATGCTGTACTCCCCCAGCCCACACCGTGCTCCACATCCCCTCCGTGCCAGGATCAGAGCCAAAATGCCACCTCAATCTGGCAGCAAAGGGTCTGCAAGATGCCCCCAGACCCCTTGCCAGAAGTGGGGGCACGTGGGGGCACAGGGGACCCCTGGGCACTATGTGGTATCCCTGTCAGGTGGGGTCTCAGTGGGACCAACCCAGTCACATCCCCCCACGTGTCCCACAGCAGGGCAAAGTAAGCTCACATTCTTGATAATGTTCCCCATCTCCCTCCCCAGGAACTCCTCTGTGGCGCTGGCTTTGTCCAACGTGGAGTTTGTCTGTGCCTGAGACAAAAGGAGCTGTCAGCAGCACGATGGGGGGAGCAGGGTCTCTGCATCTCCCCAACCCCATGCAGCAGCAGTCCCTGAGATGCAGCATCTCTGAGCTGCCATACCAGTAGGGCATCTCCATGCCCCATTAACAGCCCCGATGTGCCCCAAGCTGTGGGTTAGCCCCATAACTGGGAGTGTAGGAGCAGGGTTGCCCCATGTGTGGCTCACCTCGAGCTGAGCAGCCCGGCTCTGCACCAACTGGATGTTCTCCTTCAGGGTTTTCTGGGGGTGGTGGAGAGAGAAACAGAGACATGTACCCCATGGCTCACTCTGACCCCCCAGCAGGGCCCCTTCCCCTTCCCAGTATCACTCACCAGCAGCCCTGAGAAGTTGCTGTTCAGCTCCCTGTCCAGCTCCCGCAGCTCAGCAGCATCTGCCTTCAGGTCCCCCTGCACATCTGCACCCTGCAGGAGAGGCTCTCAGCAGTGCCCACCAGATAACAGAGGGACCCCACTGCCAGCCCTTGCCTGCTCTGGGGCATAAGGGGCTCCTCAGCCAGGGGACACCCCTCAGCCCTGGGGACAGGGTCTCACCGCGTTGTCCGCCAGCTGCTCCAGCTCTGTGGCCAGCTCCTGCAGGCTGCCCATCGTGACGCCCTGATCCAGCTGGGAAAGGGACAGTGTTGAGGTGGGGTGGGGTTGAGGACAACAGTAGGGCTGCACCCCATCCCCCTGGGGCATAATGGAGTCGGGACCCCATAGCAGAGGGGACAGCACCCGGACCCCCCATCCTGACCGCAGCCCCACACCTGCTGCAGGGTGTGGGTGAAGTTGGGAGGCTGTGCATCACGGCAGGCATTCAGCAGCAGCTCCCGCTGGCTCTCGTTCAGCACAGAGATGGGGGTCAGGGTGATATTCAGCTTCTGGAAAGCCGCTGAGATCTCTCCTGTGTACTGCAGGGTGAGGGGAGCCGTGAGGAGAGGCGTGACACAGTGCCAGCCCCATGTACCCACCTGTGTTGTGTCCCCCCTTGGCACTCACCTGGCTGATGTTCAGGAGCTCATCCAGGGACACCCTCTGGTCCAGGCGCAGCGTCTGCCATAGGGCAGCATCTTGCTGGCACTGTCTGGGGGATTGGGCACAGGGCTGGGATCGAGCCGGGTGCACCCCCAGGGCATGTCCTTACCCAGGGAACACCTCGCTCCTTCCCTGCACACAACCCCAGGACAAGCTCCCAGCCATAGTTGTGCCCACCTGTAGATCTGCGAGAAGGTGATGGTGCCACTCTCGTCACCCAGCACCTCTGAAAGGTTGAAGCCGGGGATGAGGCCAGGGGTATCCACAAGCTGGGTTCCAGGGAAATAATGGAGCAACCAGTCATGGTGCAGGGTGGGAGATGGGAGACCAAGGAGAGCCCCCAAAGCTGTCCCAACCCTGGGTGAAGGCAGAGGAGGGGGAGCCCACCTGGAAGAGCTGCTGGCTGCGCCAGGACTCACAGACCAGCATGTAGATGTTCCCCCCCAGGAAGAAGGTGAGCAGCACCAGCAGCATCAGCAGCCAAGAGAAGATGAAGCTGAAGCCCACCCCTCTGCAGGACAGAGCTCCATCAGCACTAGGAGTGTGCAGCCTGCACACCCCCATGCACATCCCTGCCTGGGAGCCTCACTCACGCCATGAAGAAGTTCCCTCCGGTGTTGGAGAGGCAGCTGCGCTGAGTGGGCAATGTGCTCTCCTTGTGCCCCAGCGGCCCCAGCAGCAGCCCACAGGTGTTGCACAGGACTACCAGCAGCACCATACAGCACAGCAGGGCACACACACTCCACCTGGGGCAGGAGGATGGGGACAGTTTGGGCTGAGAGCCCAAGAAGGAGGACTGTCCAAGGTAGATGGAGCAGCCCCCCTACCTGATGCTATCCAGGTCAGTGACAGTCTTCTGGTTGTCCCCCAGCACGGCACTGGTTTGGTTCACCAGGTTCCCAGCTCTCTCTTCCATGTTCTGCAGTGGCAGCTGGTCCTGCATGCTGCGAATCTCCTGCCTGATGTGGCCCAGCTGCTCCTGAGTCCCTGAGGACATGTGGACAGGGATGGGTCGCTGATGGAGCTGCCACCCACACCCTGCTCTTCCAGGTCAGCGGGTACCCAAGGAGAGGATGGGATTCTTGGTCCCCATGGCCAAGCATCAGCACGGTGGCCCTACTTACGTGTCACCACGTCCTGGGACTGCTCTTGCACCTTTCTGGGGGCCTGCTCCAGAACGCTGATCACCTGCACAGGGACAGCATCCAGCTCCCGACCCCCTCCCAGCCGTCCATAGATAGCATGGGACTTATAAACTCCACCAGCCTCAGGCACCCACCCCGCTCTTCCCTCCATGCAGCCCTTCACACTCCCCCAACACACCCCCTCACCTCCAAATCCCCCTCTATGCCACTGTCCAGCACATCCCACAGCGCCTCCAGCTGCCGCTCCACACCAGGCACCTGCAGGCACAGCTCGGGGTGAGGGGGCTGCAGGCTGGGCAGGGAGGTGGGAGGGGACACCCACAGCCCCCCAGAACTCACCGTGCTATAGTTGGCCACGAAGGCCACACCATTGGGTGAGGTGGTGCTGCAGGGCTGCCCACAGCGCTGCAAGGTGTTCTCAATGCGTGCCCGCAGCGTGCCCAGCTGCCCATCATAGGTGCCCTGCAGTTCCTCCAGGTGCCAGCGGGTGCTGTTGATGGTGCCAAAGGCGGACGCCAGTGTTTCCATTGCTGGGGAGGCAGCAAAGGACATCCAGGAATCCACCCCAAAGTGCCAGCGTTCCACCCAGACTGGGGATGGGCAGGCACATCCCTCCCCAGAGGCCACATATGCCCCCAGCCCAGCCCTCAGCCTTCATATCCTCCTGGTGCCCCCCACGCATCCTCAGAGTCACTGGGACATCACCTCCCAAAAGGCTCTGCAGGGATCCCAGCGCCTCGTCTGTGCTGCTCCTGATGCTGGAAGCAATCCTGCCGCCGAGGAGGGGCCCAATGTCTGCGGAGGTGGAGGGGGGGGGGTCAATGTAGGACCCCCCTTAGACTGCACTGAGTTTGCAGGGGAGCTGCTGGAAGCACTGCCCTTACCCCAAACCTCAACCCACAACAACATGCTGGAGTCTGGGCAACTGCGCCATGCTATCCCAGCATCCCCAGCCACCTCCATCCCCAAATCCCCCCCACAGCAGCAGGAGGTGCCCCCATCACCATGTGCGCTCACTCTGCAGGCTGTCATTGGTGTTGCCCAACGGGACGTTGCTGCTGTCAATGATGAAGCTGACTTGCTGCAGGGGCAGAGATCACAGAATCACAGAATGGCCAGGGTTGGAAGGGACCTCAAGGATCATGAATCTCCAACCCCCTGCCACATGCAGGGCCACCAACCTCCACGTTTAATACTAGACCAGGCTGCCCAGGGCCCCATCCAGTGTGGCCTTGAACACCTCCAGGGATGGGGCATCCACAACCTCTCTGGGCAGCCTGTTTCAGCACCTCACCACTCACATAGTAAAGAACTTCCCCCTGACATCCAACCTAAATCTTCCCTCCCTCAACTTAAAACCATTTCCCCTTGTCCTGCTGTTATCTATCCTTTCAAAGAGTTGATTCCCCTCCTGTTTGTAGGCTCCCATTAGGTACTGAAGGCTGCAATGAGGTCACCCCACAGCCTTCTTTTCTCCAGGCTGAACGAGCCCAGCTCCCTCAGCCTGTCTTCGTAGGGGAGGTGCTCCAGTCTCCTGATCATCTTCGTAGCCCTCCTCTGGACCCTCTCCAACAGCTCTGTCCTTCTTGTACAGTGTGGGGTGGGGACTCCTTGGAGACCCCTCCCACCCTCAGCCCCAGGGCTGCCCTCCCCTCGTGCCCCGCTCGGGATGCAGGCGTGCCTGGGGGATGGAGAGCAGGTAGGAGCGGAGGTCGTGCACGGTGCTGTTGATGTTGGGGAAGGTGCTGCTCACGGATTGCGAGAAGCGGATGTTGCTGATGAAGGCGCACACATCGCCGGCCCTATAGGAAAAAGGCGGTGGGGTCAGCGGGAGGAGCACCGAACCGACGTCCTCTCCCGGACCCTCCAAACGCAGGTGCAGAACGCACTGCTGAGCACCTCAATGAGGGACCCGGCTGGACGTGCAGCGGTCGCGCCCCGCGCCCTACCCCGCCCCTCCCGCTGCGGGGAGACTGAGGCACGCGGAGCCCCGCTGCGAGGCTGCCGGGAAGGGCTCTGCCCCACGGGCCCGCTCCCCACCGCCACCGCTTCCTCTCCTTTGTCCCTCCGCGCTGGAGCCGCTCCCGCAAAGAACGGCAGCTTCCTGGCGAGGCCTTCCCGGCCGCCGCGGCACTCACAGCACGAGCGCCGACACCAGCAGCACGGCGCTGTACAGCACCCGGCGTCGGCTGCGCATCCGCCCGTCCTGCTTCTGGGACATGCGTCCCCCGCAGCGCCCGCAGCAGCGGCAGCAGCAGAAGCAGCATCCCGCCAGCGGCACCGCGACGGCGAAGAGCAGCCCGATGGCGATGCACACCAGGAAGCCCAGCTCGTAACGCAGCAGCTGTGAAAGGGAGAAAGACGGCACGAGGCTGGCGCCCCCGGTCTGCGCGGACCCCGCGGGATGGGATGGGGCTCTGCACCCCGGCTGCACGCTCACCTCCTCCTTCTGCTCGTCGTTCACCACCTCGCCCTGCGTCTGTGCCAGATCCGCTATCAGCTCTGGGGGACGGGGAGCAGAAACGGTCGTGAGCGGGCAACCTCCCTTACCCCAGCCCTAACTTCGACCTCGGCCCTAACTCAACCCTAATCTGGCTTTGGGACTCCCAGCGCCACCCAAGTGCCGCGGATCTGGGCAGCACATGCCCGGCACCTTTTCCCTTCGGGCCGTCTCTCCCCAGCTGTGGCACCGCACAGCCGTTTGGCACCCAGGGAAAGCATCATCACACCCAAACTCTCTGTTTTGGAGGCTCTGGGGGGATGCTCTGACATCACCCTGGCAGCGTGCACGTGACACCTGGGATGGAGATAAAGCATTCTGCGTGGACGGGGGCAAAGTTCCCCTCCACGCTGTTCGCTCCACTTCCAGGTCCTGCCCTACCTTCTCCTGCGGACCTATTATGGGCTGCCTCTGTGCCACGTGACACGATGTGAGACCCTCCTGACCCCACCACAGATGACTCGGGCGGCCCTGGGACCCCCAGCACGCACCCAAGGGGAGACCGTGGGGCTGCACCAGGCGCAGGAAGCCGTGCACCATGCGGACCAGCCCCGGCGTGCTGCTGCTCGGCTCCTCGAGGCCGGGGCCGTACACGGGCTGCGAGATGTTCCCCAGCTCCATGGTGGCACCTGAGCAGAGAGGGGACAAGGAGGTGGCACAGCTACACGTCGCGCCCTGCCACCCATCCCCGAGCGGGAAACGTGGGGGAAAAATCCCATATCCCACAGCCTGGGGTTGGGATATGGGAGAGGTGGGGGCAGCTGGGTGTGCCCAGGGGGAAGCGAAGGATCTCAGGGGGACAGGTGGGGACGAAGCACTTACCGCGTCCTGCGGTGCTCCGCCGCACAGCTAACGCCCGGCTCTGCGGGCTCTGCGGCTCCTTTCAGTTTCAGCCCAGTGACTGAAAAGCTGTGCGCTGGCAAATGCATCGCCCCACCCTATCCCGGCCACCGCCTGGCTCCCGGCCATCCCGTGTCTGGGTCAGGGCCACCAGCAGCAGCAGCGCGTCCCAAGCGCGATCCCACGGGACTCCCGGAGCTTCCCACGCCCGCTGCCCATCCCAACGCCCCACATCTGCCTCTCCCAGAGCCCCCATCACCTTCCCGGCCCCACATCCCGCATGAGCTGTCGCCGTTGGTGCCTTGCTCTGGGACAGGTGCCGGGGAGCACCTGTACGGCACGGACCTGAGCTGTACCCCTATGCCTTTTTCCCCCTGCCCCACTGCAGCTCTCGGTGCCGTGGGTGAGAGGCAGCTTGGTGGCTCCCCTCCTGCCCACCCCCCTAGTGCTGGATGCCCGCAGTTCCCTCTAGCAAAGCAAAGGGTCCTGGGACAGGAAAGAATGCAATACCCCAAGGAAGAAAAAACAGGGAAAAACTGCACAAACTTGGCTCGTGCAGCGTAGGGGCTGACATGGGACTCCCCCGAGGTTTTGAGACGGATTTTTTTCCGGTTGCTTTACCCTTTATCCCAGGGTGTGGAGGCACACGGAGCTCAGCCTCTTCCTGCTGCGGACTCCCTGTGTAGGAACATTCCTAAGCTGTTTCCTGGTGCTCCTGGCTGCTGAGGGGAGAATGGCTGAAGCACCCCTCCGGTGCAGCTGCCCAGGAGCTGAAACCTCGAGGGCCTGGGGACGCACCTTGGCACCAGCACTGGCACCCCCAGGCCCTGGGCTCAGAAATAAGCGCTCAGGACAGCCTCAAACCGAAAAGTCATTTTATTGGTACCATACATGACTCATAAATGGCACAAACTATGGAGGAGGGGGAAGGAAGGGGGGCAAAAGAAAAAAAAAAAAAAAGAAAAAGGCATTTCAGCGTGCCCGGGGAGGGGGTGGGCAGCGAGGGGGCACATCACCACTCTGTGGGAACCCCAGCACCCATCGTACCTATCTGCAAAGCAGAACCCCCCCCTGCTGCCGTGGGAGCCTCCCCCAGGATCCTACGCTTGGGGGCAGAGGTCTGCAGGACTGAGACCTCAGCCCCCAGGAAGTGGGTGTCAGCATGGGACCCCACCCCACTGTGTGCTGGGACTTGGGATCAGGCCAGGCCTGACCCAAGGGTCTCAGGCACTGTCTCCCAGTCCCACAGAAGGGCTGGGGGGACATGGGGTCCCCCCCATGCCAGCCACCCCCAATCTGGGTGAGACGTGGGCTGCACCCAGAACCTCTATGCTCACAGGGCAGCCCCTGACAGGGGCTCACAGGCTGTTGCTCCCCCCAGCATGGTGCTAGGAGGGTGCTGGCAGAGAGAGCAGAGTGCAGACCCCCCCAAGCCATTCCCTTGCACACTCACTCTCAGCACTCACACACACACTCTTGCACATGTGCACCCAGCACAGCCCCATCCACCCTGCGGGGCAGCACCCGCTGCACTCCCGACCTGGGGACATACCAGGGGGGCATACATGCAGCCAGACCCCCAGCTCGCTCCACAGTGCCCTACTGAGGATGCAGGGGGGGCAGTGAACACACACACGCCTTCCCCCTCGCCTTCAATCTTCACCTTGGAAGAAGCCTTGGAAGGAAATTATTTTTTTTCCTTTTTTTTTTTTTTTTAAACCAAAAAAGAAAAAAAATCCCAAAAAAATTATTATTATTCTCATTGTTTCCCCTAACATCAATGGAGGCACCTGCTCTAGTGATAACACATTGAAAGAACAGTATCGTACACACTGTCTACAGCGCGGAAATGTACAAGCACGAGGTACACGAACCGGGGGGGAGGGAGGGGAGGGAAGGAGCAGGGACAACAGCACACAAGATTTACATGGAGGACGGAGGCGGGGGGCTGCCCCCCACCCCCTGGAGGGATTAGAAAGGAAGTCTGCAAAGTCTCTCCTTGGTTTGAAGCTCTCTGAACTGGATATAAAACGAGACTCCCAAGAGAAGAAGCCTGTACAAAAGTCAGGACAGGGTGAGAGCGCTCAGGGCAGGGAGGGGGGCACTGGCCAGGGAAGGGGGG